GGCTGGCGACTGGCGCGGCGACGTCGGGGGCACCGTCTTCGCGCCTGAAGCGGTCGCTTGCCAGGGCAGGGGCGGGGGCCGCATCGTCGACTTCTTCGTAGTGGACACGCGCATCACCCGCGCCTTTGGCCGAGCGCAGGTGATGGGCGCGTCGACCTACCCCCGCAGCCCCGTCAGCTTGGTGGCCAGCCAGCCCTTGCGCATCATGACGGGCTGGCGGCTAGTCAAGCCGAGGGCCTCCCCCACGCGGCTGCCTGCGGGCTGTCGTCGGGGGCCGCCCGGCTGGCCGCAGTTCGACCCCGACGGGCTGCGCGGCGATGGCGAGCTGGAGGACCTCCGGCGGCGGCGGAGGCTGACCTGCAGGGCGTCTTCGACCTGGTCGGGGAGGGCGACAAAGTCGGCAGCGGCGACTGCCCCAGGTGGGCCCGCGCCCCCCTGGCCGGCCCTGAGGCGCGCGCCCGACCCCGAGGCGCCATGCGCTCGAGGGCGTGGCGCCGGGTGGCGGCCAGAGCGGGGGGCCTGTTCCAGCTCGCGGACGCGGCGCACCAGCGGGGCTCATGGGCGTCCTTGGCGGGCCCAGTCCACCAGTAGCTCCTGACCCTCGCAGCCTTGCGGTGGGCGGGGGCCATGGCCAGCAGCGCAGGGCCGCAGCTCGGGCCTTCGAGATCGAGCAGGGCCTGGAGAACCAGCGGGCCAAGGCGTGGCGTGAGAGGCTGTGCGACGGCTCCGCGGGGGGCGCTGGCTTCATCCGACGCGTATCCAAGTGGGGGCACAGCGCCACCCCCACCCTCGGCGCCAGGGGCCGCACCAACCTGGACATGTCCAACCCCTAGGTCGCCGTGGACGCCGCGGCCCTCGACTGGATCGACCTCTCTGGACCCCCCGCGGCGCCGAGATCCGAGGCGAGATCGACAGGCCACGGGAGCAGGTGGAATTCCCCCGCAGCCTGGCCCGCCCCCCCCCCCCCCCCCCCCCCCCCCAGCGAGATTCCAACGATTTGCCGAGCTGTCCCCGAGCACGCGGGAGTGGGGGTGGACAACTGGCATCCGAGGTGGTGGGGGTTCCTGAGCGACGGGGGCCTCGAATTCCTGGCCGCTTTTGTGGCCTCAGTCTCTCGCGCATCGCGCTGGCCCCCCCAGCTGCGGTACGTACTATACTTCTGGCGTTCCAAACCTTCGGGGGGCACGCGGCCCATCGGCCTGCTCGCCGCGAGTGCGGGGCTGGTCGAGCGAGCCCACGCGAGTTTCTCTTTTTCGATTGGGAGCGATCGATTCGTCGTGGTTACGATTTCGCTGCCCCTGAGGGTGGCTCCGAAGATGCGACGTTGTGGCAGATGTTAGTTGACCTGGGCACCCCCTGGCGAGATGGCGGCGCGGGAGTTCTGGTTCGAGGGGCCCAGGCATGGATTCCTGCCCCAACTCCTGATCTCTATTTGCACTAGTGAGCGTTTGGTGACCTTTCGGGGAGTTGTCTCTACCCACTCGGCGGTCACCTTCTCGGCGGTGGCGGGGAGTACGGGGGGGGGACTCGCTGTCTGAAGCTAGCCATTCTCACGGTCACGGACTCGCTGTCTCGCATGTGCCCGACCTTCTTTCTTTACGCTGGCGACCTCAGCCTCCAGGCCAGAGGCTCGGAGGAAGAAGTGTCGGTTCAGCTGTGTGATGGCATCGCCCAATATGTCAAGGCCATGGAGGCCAGGGGCACCCCCGCTTCCAGGGGCAAGCCAGGTGGCCTTCCATGGAAAGGCGTTATCCTGGCGGCTAGCTCTTCTCCCAGGGTTCGAATTCGGGGGTGGGCCCAAAGTCTGGGCCTGAGCGCCCTGGGTCACAGCTCCCAGTTGTGGGTGGATTCGGCTGGGGGCGCCCCGATCCAAGTCGGGCGCAGGTTCGACGATAGGCTGCCCAGCGCCCGACGTCGGAAGCTCAAGCGTAGAAGTCTAGCCAAGCAGGGGGCCAGGCTTTTTAAGGTCGCTCGAATGGGGTTCATGCCGCCGGTTCTGCACGGCGCTGCGCGTCTGGGCCTGGGCCCCGCTCGAACCGACCGGGCCCGCATTCTGATGGCTAGCGTTCTTGGGGGGAGCTCGATCGATAAGGATCGAGCCCTTCGGCTTTGGACCTTCCAATGCGACCCCCTGGTGGATGCCTGCGCGCGGCCCCTGGTCAAGTGGGCGACGGCTGCGTGGGGGGGCTGCCACGAGGAGCTGACGCAGCAGGCCTGGGGGCGAGCCTTGGTCGCGGCCGCGCAGGCAAAGCCTGGGCGCAGCCTCCTGGAGAAGTCTGAAAGGCCATGCTTCTGCCGTGCTCGCCACTCTCCGTCGGATGTTTTGGAGTTGGCCCTCGTTTTCGGTTGTTCGGGGCCACCTGGGGGTGTGTTGGGACATTCGCCGCGTCGCTCCCACTTGCCTCAAGAAGTTGATGTTTGCCCGGTTTGAGTTCGTTGTGCTTTCCGCCTGGGCCGCCGCCAGAAGCCTTGGGTTCGCCTGGCCTTTTCTGGAGGCCGTCAGGGCTCTCCTCCGCCGAAGGGTTAGCCGATCGCCGCAGAGGAGATCGGCTATCCTCGCTTACCTCGGGCGCGATTTTTGGACCCAAGAAAAAGTCTGGCGCGCGGGCTTTGTGGGCGACAGGTCCTTCCGGGCGCGTGGTTTCGAGGTGGGCTGTCGGCGCCACCGCGTGCGCCGTCGCCCCTGTCAGGAAGCCGCTCGAGCGGAAACAGCCGAGGCGGTTAATTTCCAAGGGATCGTGCGTCGAGCTGAGACTTCCACCTCGGACTCTCCTCTCTCTTCTCGGGGGACATTGTCGAGCACCCCTTGGATGATCCCTTCCTAGACGGCACGCCTGCCCAGGAGGAACCCAACCTCAGTTTTGAAAACCGCCCCTGGTCAGCGGCTGGGCCTACTCCGACGGCTCGGGCAAGGGCCCGCCAGGGCTCCAGAGTTTTGGTTGGGGTTGCGCTTTTTTTCTGGACCAGGAGGGGGCTGTGGCCAGGGCCATGCGTGGCCCCTCCTTGGGCTCCGAGGCCAGGCGTCTGTTCTTCGTGCTGAGATGTATGGTCTGATGAAGACCCTGGAATGCACCGCCCCTCCCCTCCGAGTTGGCATTGGCAACGGTACCGTCATCCGAGGTTTGAGGCGTGGGCGCAAGTGGTGTTGCTCCCCCAGGCGGCCTCGCGCCGGCCTCTGGGACCGTGTCTGGTTTTTGCTCCAGGAAAGTTCTCCAGGGGGAGGCGATTTTGCCTATGCGAAAGTTCGTGCCCTCACCCGTGGGCCTCGAGACAATTCCCGGGAGGCGGAGCTCGACTTCCAGGGAAACCAGTTAGCTGACGCTGAGGCCAAGGCGGCGGCCGATCTGCAGGCGATTTCCCAGTGGAAGAGCGCCGCCTGGACCTCGCGGTCCGACGAGGCGCAGGGGGTGCTCAGTCTGGTGGTGGGGGTGACTGTTCGGACGGGGGGCTTCGAGGATTCCACGGGGAGGCCCGCCGCAGGCTCCGTCGGGCCTCGTCAGCGCCGCCAGGGCCAACCAGCGGGGGAGAGAGCCCACGCCCTGGTCTGGACTTGCACGGCTCGGAGGTGCACGGTCTACTGTAGGTATGCGGTATGCCTTGTCCCCAAGAGGTCCCTGTGGCGCAAGCCGTGCATGGGGAAGGTTCGGGCGGATCGTCGTTTCGTCGTGGAGCGGGGGGAAGGGGGGCACCTTATCCCACCAGCACTGCGCGGTGAGGCCCTGGGCCATGAGTTGCACCGCGCAGGCCACTTTACTTTCTGCGATCGGTGCGGTGTCTTTTCGAGCGAGCGCGGATGTAAGTTGGTGCAGGTGTGTGTTGGTCGGCCCGCCAACGCCACCGCCGAGTATCGCCGCTCGCTCCTGCGCCGATGCAGGCATCCTTATAACGCGAAGCTTTTCCTAGGAGAAGCGTGCCGCTCACTCTTACTGTGCGAGCGGGACGCCTTCTGGGAGAGAGTTCCGGACTCGATAGTGGACGGGCGAGTAGAGGCACCTTCTCAGTGTGCCCGCCCGTCCCCTTACTTTCCCCCGAAAGCTGACTAAGGCCAGGTTTGCCAGGTTGGTTCTAGCAGCAAAAACCTCCTCCTCCTCCTCCTCCTCTCCTCCTCCTTCCTCCTCCTCCTCCCCCCTCCTCCTTCCTCCTCCTCCTCCCCCTCCTCCTCCCCCTCCCCCCCCTCCTCCCCTCCCCCTCCCTCCCTCCCCCCCCCCCACCAGCGGGGCCAGCCGTCCCAGGGGCGTGCCCAGCAGATCTTGGGCGCGGTCCAAGACCCTTTGAGCAAATGGCATAAACATGAGTTTTGGATCCGCGCTGGGCCCCTCTGGCGGCGCCTGTCCGGCGCCCTCCTCCTCCTCCTCCTCCTCCTCCTCCTCCTCCTCCTCCTCCTCCTTTATTATTTTTATTATTATTATTATTATTATTATTATTATTATTATTATTAGTATTATTATTATTATTATTATTATTATTACCATTATTATTACTATTATTATTACTATTATTATTATTACTATTATTATTATTGTTATTATTATTATTATTATTATTTTTTTTTTATTCTCTGTCCGGCGCCGCCCCTGGCGCGCTCCGCGCGCCAGCCCGCTGCCCTGCATATTCCTTCGGATGCCCACTATTGCAGCTATTGTGTGTAATTCTTTGTCGTCGCACCACGGGGTGTGGCGGTATGGAGGGCTGGACGCCTCGCTTGAGACGTCCTCAACGCTCATGGTTCACCGAGCGAATTCCACTGCTCGCAGAGTGCCTACTCACAAACGTCCGACAAAAAACATACATGTGTGCGTTGTTGATGTAATATGTCGTAGATCCCCCGCGGGGGATCCGGGCCATTTGCGAGTAGTTACGTTGCGAACGCGCTCGTCGAATGGCCCCGAAGCTAGAGATCGCCAACAGCTGCACTCACTGGGGGAGGGCCGTCTTAGACATGTGGCTCGCGGCACACGGCGCCGCGCACGCTCGTATTCTGCGAGCCTCCGGCAGCACGCATGCAGGGCTGGTCCTTCCCGGCGTGGCCCGCGCAGCAACGCCGTGCAGATTCTGGGGGCGGCCAAGGGGGCGGTGGGGACTGGTCCGTAGCCACTTGGGCTCAAGCTGGCTCTCGCTGGTGCCGACTCGCGGCGCCGCGTGCCGGCAGCTGCCCGTGGATGCCAGGTGCCTCCCTGGAGGCGGCCTGGCGGCATAGGCTGGCGATGTTCCACGTCTGGAGGAGGGCGCGGTGCCCGTGCGCGGGGCACGAGAAGGAGCCCGTGGCGCTGCTCTCGTGCTGGGCGCAGGTGTCGATCCTGCTGTCCGGCGTGCTCTCCTGCCTGGTCGTGGTCGGAGTGGCGGGGGGCGTGGAGGGCTCAGCTCCCGGAGTCCGGCTCCTCTCCAGGCAGGGCGGGGAGGGGCCCCCTCGGCAGCTGCTGAACCCCGTGCTGTACATGAACGACTACCGCCCCGAGGATCAGCGAGTGAAGAACGGTAGAAAATAAACTTTCCGCCGTCGGGGACACCTGCCCCTGGGCGGCTGGAAAGTTTATACCCTTACGGTGCCACCGCAAGGGTATAGACTTTCCAGCCGCCCAGGGACAGGCGCCCCCGACAGCGAAAGAGTTGATTTTACACCGTTCTTCGCCCGTTAAGAGGACTACGCCATCTCGGGGTCCGACCTGAGGAGGGCCATGGAGATCAGCGCTGGCAACGTCGGCAATCTGATCTGGATGCACGGTGGCTGGAGCCTGCTACAGGAGCCGTCGGCACACGAGTTCATCTACAGCTCGCTGGATGACCCCAAGCTGCCGACGTTTCATACCAAAGGCTTCTATTTCCCGGTTGCGAACATATTCGGGAATCGCTCTGTGTTCGAACGGCGTGGGGCTGCAGACAAGAAGCTGACGATAGACCGCATTACGGCGGCGATCAAGTCTGTGGACGGCCCCACTCTGCTGCTCGGCGCTGGCAGTCAAGGTTTTTACCAGCCAGGCTTGTCGGATAGATATTTCGATTTGGAGGAAGGCTGGATTGATCGAGATATTGGTGCTTACAGCCTCGCGTCCCCTCTCTTGGACATGCTGGAGGCCATTCGCGAGAAGAGCGGCTTCGTTTTGGCGCGCGGTAATTACACTACTGCGATTTTGCAAGCGCATGGCTTTGATAGGGTGCTAGACGCTGGTTGTCCAAGCCTGTTTGCGAACCCGAGCCCTGGTTTGGGAGCGCAGCTCGAATCGAAGTTGAGATCAGTCAGGGACCGCCTCCAGCAGGGTAAGCTAGTTCGGACAGTGATCTACCTCCCCCCATTCTACAGGCCTAATATGCTGAAACTCCTCCTGCGAATCTTGCTTGAGCACGGGCTGAATCGGCTTGTGATTCAGGACGAGAGAGACATAGAGACCCTCGCAACGGCCGAGAAGGAGCTAGGGCTGGTTGTCCCTGCGTATCAGAAGGCATGGTTCACCAGTGCGGCAGCCTGGCGAGAGTACATGTGCCGCCACGATTTTGTTTTGAGTGGGCGTATCCATGGCACCATGGTAGGCCTTGCCTGCGCGGTGCCAGGCTTCATTATTGCGCCAGACATGCGTGTACTGGAGCTTGCTGAGTCTATGCAGGTTCCTCACGCTGATCCTTTCCAGCGGTGGCTCCGCGATATCGTGGTGGTGAAGCCCAGTGTCGCACTCACCACGATCGTGGAGAGAACGTTAGGCGTCTTCCGAGGTGATCAGTTTGATGGCCACCGGTGCAAGATGTTTCGGATGTATCATCGTGTGTTCAGCGCACTGGGCTTCGAGATGAAGCGCTCTTTGGCAAGACTGTGTGATGGTTTTGCGCTCGAGCCAGGGTGAGGCCGGCTCTTCGCTCTTCTTTTGTGCGTGGGTGTGCCGATAGACAAGGGAGTTTTTTCCTCACACTGTCAAGGTTGTTGCCCATGGCTGCGCGGCCCGACATGGGCTGCAGATTTGATGCTGTCTCGCAGTGCCTAGCTGACGCGCACCCCGCGCGTCGAGAAACGCTTCCAGGAGCGGGAGGCATCTGCCCCCCCTCTCGGAGAGGGACCAAAAAAAAAGAGATGGCGGTGATGACTAGGGGGGGGTATCATGGCGTGGGCCATGATTTTTCCCCAGATGTCATGGCGCCTCTTCTTATTTTATTACGTCCCTGGCCCCCCCACCTGGGCCGCGCACATGCCGCCGGCCATGATTTGCACCCCCCCCTCTTGGACGCCCCCCTCTTGGCCGCCCCCGAAGATTCGTCTTGAGACTCTGCAGCAGCTCTGCGGATGTGTAAGGCAGGCCGTTTTCAAAATATGGCTCTCGCATCGGCGCCTCGCGCTTGCGTCTAGTCGGGCCTGTCCCTCTAAATGAGGAATGTTCAGAAATTGTCAAAGAATAGTCAGGGGACGATTTTCTGATTTTTTGTTGTTGGCTATGTTTGAGCATTTTGGGGGTAGCTTTTATTCTTCGTCCCACATCCGCCTGTAGGGGGACAGGCCCGACCTTTCGCTTGTGTCTTGATCTCCCCCAGTAATGGCAAGTATGGAGGGCGACTCGTTTTCACAATGCGCGCGCATTTCGTCCTACAAGCTTCCATCAGTAAAACTGATATAGACAAGGAAAAAAGCCATGAACACAAGCTTTCGGCGCTCCGCGCGGATTTCTGGATCTGCGCTAGGCCCCCCATGATAGAGGGTGGCTCCTTCTCAGAACGGGGCTCTCACTGCAGACCTGTCCCGTACGTGGTGACCAGGCATGTGAAGTTGCGCAACAGCTACGCTGGTCGTGGGCGGGTTCTTTTCGCACTGGGGCTCTCGGTGGACGCTTCCTTGAATTTAGTGTGTCGTATCCTGGAAAAGTGCAGCGCAGTTCATTATTGTGAAGACCTTACGGCCGGTGCCGCCGACCCAGAAGGACGACGACGACGAACACGCCGACAACGACAAAGACGAGCTGATGACCCTGCCACAGGCTCGGGACATGGGGCGGGCGGTAGAGGAGGGAGGAGGAGGAGGAGGAGGAGGAGGAGGAGGAGGAGGAGGAGGAGGAGTTGGAGGAGGAGGAGGAGGAGGAGGAGGAGGAGGAGGTCGTGTTCTTGAAAAGGGCAGCACAGCTCATTGTGTTAACAGGTCTCTCGCCTGAATGAAGGGCCCATGAGGCGCTCGTCTTCAAAAGGGGAGCTTCTCGATGTCGAGCTCGTGCGGAGTCAACTTTGGATGAAGGAGGAGGAGGAGGAGGAGGAGGAGGAGGAGGAGGAGGTGGAGGTGGAGGAGGAAGAGGAGGTGGAGGAGGAGGAGGAGGTGGAGGCGGAGGAGGAGGAGGAGGAGGAGGAGGAGGAGGAGGAGTTGGTGGAGGCGGAGGAGGAGGAGGAGCGGGAGAATAGATGAAGTGGAGGAGGAGCAGAAGGAACATGAGGAGAGGTGTGGAGGAGGAGGGGGAAAGGTGTGCATGCATGCGTGGATCTGTCGTCGCGGTGCGGTCCCGTGTGGAAGGGGTGGGGGGAGAAGCAGCAGCAGGAGGGAGCGTTGGCTCCCCCATGCTGCAGCGTTGTTGACGCATCCTGCCCCCTCCTCCTGCTCCTCCTTCCTCGTGTGCGCTCTTGGCGGCTTCTCGTGGGACGTTCCCTGCTGTCCCGGTGGTCGTAGGTCCCACGACGCAGTGCCACTTGTGCATTCTATGATGGGGAAAAGAAGGACTCCTCCTACTCCTGGTTCCCCTCCTTCTTCGCACGTATGTCCTCCCCCGCTTTCGCTTTCTCCTGTCCCCCCGCCCCCCCAATCCATCTCTCCCCCCTCACCCTCACAGGGCCCATCTCAATCCGATCGACCCAGTCTGGTATCGATTCCAGCTGGCCCGATTCAATGCGACTCCGATGCGGCCACGCGTTCGCATGGCGCTGTTGTGCATCCTGGCGCGGTCGATCCGATTCGAGTCCGACACCGTGCCGATGCGGCCCGATCCGACGCACATGCCGATTCGCCCCGATGCGATGCTGGCTGGCCATACCGCGCTGGCAGTGAATGCTTAGTATTCTGGCTCCAGCAACGCTCCCACAAGAAACAGTCTCGCCCCAGCGTCGGACGGGGCCAAGACGAGGATACGTCCGTTCCAGAGCGTTCCGGACCGCTCTCGGAGCGTTCTTGAACGTTTTGAGAAGGCCGCGGCGCCTGAGACATCTTCGAGAGCCGCTGAAACTCAGGTGTTCTCGATTCATCCTCGCCCGATTTTACCCTCGTACTGGCTTCGTCTTACAGCGAGGCAGGGGCCAGTGATCGTGGCGGGGGGGGCGTCGCTCATTGAAGTTCCGTGCAGTGGAGGCCCACGCCAGGAAACACCCTGTCTGCCTTCCGGGTGCCCTGGGTTTCCTGGGCCCCGCGCCACAAAAATTGCTGGGCGTCCTGGGGTTCTCAGGGCTGGGTTTCTTGTGGAAGGCTTCTCGTGGGCTGGCCTCCGCTGTATCAGTCCGACCTGGGCGTCGCCGTTCCCCCCCTGCCTCCGGCAGGACGTGGCCGACGTGTTCGTCATCGGGGGCCAGGCCGCGTACCAGGACCCGGATCCCGCAAAGAGGAGGAGGAGGAGGAGGAGGAGGAGGAGGAGGAGGAGGAGGAGGAGGAGGAGGAGGAGGAGGTGGTGGTGGTGGTGGTGGAGCTCCCTAGCGACCAAGGTCGAATGGTCGGAGGAGAAGACTGGGGTTACCCCCTCACTTACGCCTCGGCACCCCACAACTGGGGGGCGCCAGCGACAGTGCCCGTCGGCAGCTGTCGGCGCACGGCCGCAACACACGCTGCTGCAGCACTGCAAAACAACAAATCTTGCAAAACCTCTAACTGCTCCCTCACTGCACCCTGCTCCCTCGCACATGCACGACATCCACCAACAAAACTCCTCACTTCCACCAGCGCCTCACATGCCCTATGAGCAAATGCAGCACAAGCTTCAGACAGGCATACCATATATGTCGACAACCAGCACGCCGCAAGCGAGCGAGTAATACAGACAGACCAGACACAACACGTGTCGCCGATCACGCCGTCGAGCGTACAACTGAAGACGAAGTTTATGCTCCTGACCTGTACCCGAGACAAGTACCTAATGTCGATGACCACCCGCCACTCGACCACGACAGCACCCGCTCCCAAAAACTTCAGGCACATCACATAATGTCGCCCATATCAGTCACGAGCACGTCTCCGACCAGTAGTCACTACTGTGGGGTCATCATCTTCTGCCCTTCCACTTCGAGATACCCCGCAGGACGCGGGCCCGACACTACAGCCCCCACATGCTCATGCAGGATAGCAACTATGACCTGCGAGCTGCTTGTCGGCGATCCTTTGAACAAGCGAATCTGCGCCTGAAGGGAGCCTGGGGAATTGTTCATGCATTTCCGTACTATGGCCTGCTGCTCAGCCGACCCCTTGGTCCCGAGCCCGAGCGCCGCACTTGCAAACTGAAACGAATCTGGAGCACCGAGCACCGAGCAATCTTCGCCCGCTGCAAGTACTCCTGGTCGTGAGCGCTTTTTATACTCACATACACTGCGTCCTCCAGGCTTATCTCCCACTTTGCCGAAGAGGGCTCCCCATTGCTGCTGCGTCATCAGAGAAGAAACTCTTGTGTTTCTAGTGGAAGGTGCGCTCGAAGATGCCAACGAGCCGACACGTAGCTACTGAAACTCAGATCACATATCTCACAGGAATACGGAGGACTGGTGATATGACTGTGTTGAACCGCAGAACCCTTGGACCGAGGACACTTGCCAAGTACACGACTCTTTTCCAGGTGAGAGCTAGCATACCTTTTGGTGGTATATATGTTGCCACACAGAATACATGCATTACTGATATAACAATTCGAGCAAGAACTCTATGCCCGTGATTGGGTTGCCGAGAATTAGCTTGATGTAACAGTAGTTGCCTTTTAGTCGGGAACGAGGCCCCACAGACTCCCTCCGACTCCCCAAGACTGAGATCGCATTTGAAGTCACCCACAGACGGAGGAGGAGGAGGAGGAGGAGGAGGGGAAGGAGGCGGGGGAGGCACCCCAGAAGGAGGAGGCACCCCAGAAGGAGGAGCAGAAGACGAGGACGAACCCCCAGGAGCCCCCGAGGCCCCCGACGGGGCGCCGATCTCAGCCTCGACAGGCGGAGCTATCTGTTTTCCTGTGTACTCGCTGTACGATATCTGCGGGTCAGCCGAAAGAAATTCCGTGCGCACGTCCATTGAACAAAACAATGCCGCAGGATAACGCTCGACTTCATCCGCAATATCGGCAAACTCGGCTACTCGAGCAAATTCCTTAAAGTCGGCGAGAAACTGTGTCCACCATTCGCTAGGCCTCCCATTAAGATACCCGTCCCAATCCACGAACTTATTTTCTTCCCATTCAGCCTGACCAAACAGAGCTCCTATCACCTGTAAATTACAGAGAGGCCAGCGCACAATATTTTGCATCCACTTCAGCCTCTGCATGCGGAGCCGCAGGGACACAGGGCACAGCCTCAGCTGACAGTAAATGTCGTGCGTGGTTCTCGCTTGATATTTCATCCCATCCTCCATCTCCTCCTTGATGCACCCCTCCCCCTTCATCACACGACGAGCAAGAATCGCTTGAACTCCATCCAAGCGTGAGCAGCAATCAGACGTCACCGCAAGTGAGACCAAGCCCGACGTAAGGGCGCCTTCGATAACAGCTTGGTACACAATACTCTTCCATCTCAAATTCGTACAGCTATGCCAGAACCGTCCCAGAAGCCCAAAACTTTGCCTCGCCTTTTTTATCCTGCGGGGATATTCATCACTGCAACTTCCGTCGGCACGTAAATAGGGACCCAGGTACTTGCAGCAACGATTCACGCGCCCAGGAGCACTCACCAGTGCGCAGCTGCCAGGACCCAGACGGCCGATCAAAGTAGCCCCCAAAAACACGCCGCCGAGAGACATGGGCACCTTTGCCCGCGAAGTGCACCAGACACTCTTGCTTGCCGCTATTGAGAGCCACTCCACCAATAGCGACTCGTTCTTGAAGTCTCGCGAGGTTCTCAGAACTTAGTCTGACAAACCCATCACACGATCGCAGCAGCTGAGTGCGACACAGATCATCAGCGAAACTGGTGAAAGACACGTCGATCGCACGATCGGCCCACGAGCACAGAGCAAGCCTAGCACTTTCATCTTCCCCTAAACAGTGCTTAAGCCACGGAGCTCTGACGCTAAGCCCAGGACTCTCTTCCCCTATATACCCATCCAAACACCAATGATAAGCCCCTAAGAACCATACTGGAGCCACGGTGTCCCCAGGTAACGTTCCAGAACCCAAGGCAACCTCCAGAACACCAACAACACATTCGAGAGACATTTGCCCATGATTAAGTCTTTGTTCAAACAGAGCCGCTGCAAAGGGGGACGCGTGCTGCCTCACGAACATCTTAAGAAGCCAGTGCTCCACGCTGTGAAATGCATTCGTCGCGTCATAGAAGGTAGAGAAAAAACTCAGCTTAGCTTCTCTTAATCGTTCACCACACAAGGTCTGAACGAGCACCGCCCCCTCCCGCCTACGTCGTTTCAGATATCCGTAAGCATACCCACGATTTGCGTATCTACCTAGGTCAGGGTTCGCTCTCCACAGATACTGATAATACACTTTACCAAAGGAGTCCCAGCTATGTACTAACCTCAGGCCCTGACAATCCACCTTACCATTGCCCTTACTAAAAGTCAACGCCTGACTACAATGCCAAATCAGCGGAGTCTCAGAGTGCAGTCTAATACTCGCCAGTATATACATCAGGCAATACTTGATCGTTTCAAAGTTCCACTCCTCTCGTTCTCCTCCCACTCCTGCTCTACTCTGCCTGCGAAAGTCACCTGGCCAGAACATCATGCGCCATATACCTGCTGGGAATGACCATTCAGGTGGCGTCTTCCTCAGCTTCACTCTCTTAAATGCGCCAGAAATGCGACCAACATCTTATTTAGCCTCACGCATTGCCTCACTCATGTCCGTCTCCCGCGGTCCTCTCGTTAGTCTAGCATCCAGTTCCTCGTCGTACGTTGCATCAGATGCTGCCACGCCACCCTCAGGACCTGAACTCTCGAGATACTTGCGCCACGTCTCAGCGTCCAGGAAGGTGCGAGGAGCAGAGTACAGTCTGAGCTTCGGCCCTAGCGCTTTGCCGCTGAGCCGCCTGGTCACATCCCAGGCCGACAAAAAACTCTCGATCATTCCAGGCATCCTCTAGCTCGGCCACACGTAGGCCAATTAAACAGTTTCTATCCCTTCGCACCCGCCACCGCACCTCCCGATCCACCCGACGACCCAGAACAATATGCTTTGCGAGCATACTCGGGGCCAGAAACGAATTCGAAAAACAGCGACACACCCCAGCAAGGAAACCCGTGGCAACATGCGGGAGGAAGGCAAGGAGCCACAAGGGATCACAGCCCCAAGGAGGAGGAAGGAAGGGCGGAGGGGGCCTCTGCTTTAGGCTTCGCAGTTCACTTCTCAAGCGACCACGCTCGGCCAGAGCCGCCGACGATGCCTCAGGTCGATCCACGTGCTTGGGTTGAACACCAAACAATTCCCGAGCTATCGGGTTTATCACATTGTGGACGCGCAGGTAAAAAAGATCAGCACATTGCCTCACTGGCTCCTCACTCTCGAACCCCACAGGTCCGAGCCCACGGGAAACCGCTTCTAAAAATTCACGCCTTCGGACCCCATGGAGCACCGCACGATTGAGTTTATTGTGGCCCCAGCGGAACGAGCTTTCATCTGGAAAAACGGCCCTTTTCTAACTGCGAGACTAGAGGATAGTGGCCACGACGAGTCAACGTATTGATCAACTGCATGGCCTCCCCCGCTCGCTCCCACACTTCACATTTGCGAATTTTACTCAGTACTGCTTTTGTCGTGCATATATAGTCCACCCTCGCCGTGCTAGTACCATTCCCATGATAAAACGTGGGCCCACACACATAATACGTATTCACAGCACACAAGTAATGGGCCTCTAGCGTTTCCCGAAAGTACAGACCATTCGTATTCTCATTGTCCACTTCACATGATCCCAGACTCTCACTTGCCACACTTCCCACTCGAGCATTCGCATCTAGCATTAACAGGGGAACAGTTCGACTCGGTAGCTCGTCCAGCAATGAGTTAAGTCTACTCCAGAACTTCTCGCACCCTCGAATAGCGGCTGCTCGTCCCACTCCCCCAGGAGGTTCCACTGGCGCATACGCAACAATAAACGTAATGTCGTTTGATGCTGACTTACATCTCACTGCCCCCAGTCGACCTGCCAACTCTCCTTCATAGTGCCAGACCCTGCGAATCTGCTTCCCATCAAAGAGGCAATCTCTGATCAAGAGTGAGCACCCCGTCGGACGACCTGCAGACCCAGCACTTCTGCCCCACTGAAACCGATGATACTTCCCAAGACGATCCTGGACACACGGCAATTCTGTACCACACTGTGTGCCAGCGGGAGCAATTGCCTGACAGCTACGTAGTTGCTTCTGAACGTCACTCCATCTGCCAGCCTGTCGCATCGACAACGGATTCCACATGCAGCATCTAACTAGTACCATGGCCGCCCGAGGCACACGCCGCCTGATGAGGGGGCGTGTCGAGGCAGGTGCAAAGACATGCCTGGCGGCGCGAGTCGCCCCCTCTGTGGGTCACGATCTGGGCCGTGGGGGCTAGAGGAGGAGGAGGAGGAGGAGGAGGAGGAGGAGGAGGAGGAGGAGGAGGAGGAGGAGGAGGAGGAGAGAGAGGAGGAGGAGGAGGAGGAGGAGAGGAGGAGGAGGAGGAGGAGGAGGGGGTGGGTGTGCCCCAGGGTGTGCAGGGCTCGTGTCGATTCCTCCAATTCGATTCGGCTTCGATGGATTCCGATTCCGATGCGATTCGACTTCGGATTCCGATTAGGATTCCGATTCAAGTTGCAAGCATCCGCAGCATCCGCCGCAAGTTGCTTTGCCTTTCCTTCTCTCCTCTTCCTCCTCCTCCTCCTCCTCCTCGGTGTCGGTTCCGTGTTGCCTTTTTCTCCACGCTTGCACTGCCCTGGTCATGCGGGAGCCCAGACTGACAGGCAGTCGGGCGATGACCTCCGATGCAAAGAAATCTGCACTTCTGCCGGTTATCCCGGTCCCCGGACGCGCGCGACGGCTCGCCTATGGCAGGTTGGCTTGAGCGCTGCTCCTGGCCTTTGACAGGATTCTCTCGCCTCTTCTCCTCCTCCTCCTCCTCTTCCTCTTCCTCTTCCTCCCCCCTGAATGTGGTGACGTTTACTCGGCCGGCCCTGGCTCATCGGTGGGAGCGGCTATGGCCCCCATGAGGGGAAGCGGATCACCGTACGCACACGACTGTTTAGGTCGTGCTTGTCGCCTTTTGGTTTTTTTTTCTATCCGTGGAGGCGGCGGCAGTTCGAAGTTTCAGGTCCGCAGTTTTCTGCGTTGGCCGCCGCTCGCGTGCTGGTGCCGATAGCCAATGGCCGGGAAAGAGGCCCCTGGAGGGCACGGTGGAAATCTGCAGAGATGACACGCCACGTCACGCACATGTCATATCATCGCGCTGGTTGAACAAAACAAAAAAATAGGATTCCGATTTCTCAATGAGGCCTTACTGCTCTGCCGATTTCCGCCAGTTCGACTCCTCCCGACTTGGCTGTCGATTTCCGCCGATCCGATTGATTTCGATCGCCGATTCGACTTGTCGATTCGATTCTGGGCTCTCCTGTGTGTGTGTGTGTGAGTTCGACTGGTTTTTGCACCGAGCCGCCCGAAACAAGTGCCCCCCAGCCGCCGGCAGCTCCCGATGGTTGCCGACAGGTGGGGCGTGCGGGGGGCATCTGTTTTTGCGGCAATTCGGTGCACCAGCGGGTCGAACTCATGCCCCCGCTCAGGGTCCCCCCCTTTTCAGAGCCCCGAATCATCAGGGGCAACTCGGGTCAGGGCTAACTTGGGCTGGTATTTGGGGATTCCAAACCCGAGTTACCACGGGCCCGAGTTACCCCGGATGATTCGGGCGTCCAGAGCCTTAAATCATCAGTGGTAACTCGGGCGGGTTAGTTCTTCGGGGATCCAAACCCGAGTCACACCGGGCCCGAGTTACCCCGGATAATTCGGGCATGCCCCCCTCAGGGTCCCCCCCCTTTCTGGTGGATCCCGACAGGAGGCCGTCGAGCTGCCCAGCTGCCGCTACATCTTCATGACCCGCGTCGGCAAGGCCGGACCCGTGGGCCCCCTCCGGCCGGGAGGGGCGGGCGGGCTGCTGGGAGGCTGCTCGGGAGGTCCTCGGGGGTCGTGCGCCCCCCGATCTGGGCGTCGTCGTGACCCACGGACGGTGATCGAGGCCTCCTGGATGGGTTCGGTGGCAAATCATGGGAGCCTGGTGTACCCTCGCAATTGCGTCTGTAGCATCGATTGGAGTCGATTGGTGTCTGGGAGTCGATGGGATAGCGCCGATTTTGCGTCGGCTAACGTCGATTGGCGTCGACATAGCGTCGATTTAGCGTCGATTAGTGTCGACTAGCGGTCTAGCTTCGATGAGCGTCGATTCACAAGAGCCGACAAGATGGGTATGGGAGGCTCCCATGAGTTGCCACCGAGGATGGGGTCGGAGAGGATGGGGTCGGAGGATCGCGTCGCATCGCCGATGCATCAGGATGGGGTCGGAGGATCGCGTCGCATCGCCGATGCATCGGCGATGCGGGTTGATGCGGGGCCCAAGTTTCTGCACGCCGGCGTCGTCGATGCACCGCCGACGTCGCTGATGCATCTCCGGTGCATCTCGGGTGCATCGCCGGTGCATCGCCGATGCATCGCCGATGTATCGGCGATGCGGCCCGATCCGCCAACCCCATCTAGTATCCGGACCCCACCTACGAGGCCTCCGTGCGACCATTTGGGTCGGTTCCCGCGTATGCGCGGCGCTCCTCCCCCCGTGCGGACGCCTCCGACCTGGAGGCCCTGCGGGCCCTCGCAGCTAGAAGGATCGGGCCGGACGAAAGGGGGGGGATAGGGAAAGGGGGTGTTACGAAATCTGCTGCATGCAGCCGGTTTCGGCCCCACCGAGGGGCCCATTCCTCGATACATGGCCGCCTCTGGCGGCGGGAGGCGCCGGGAAAATCGGCTACGAGCTGATTCTCAAGCCCCCCCTTTGCTATGCTCCCCTTTCGCCCGACCCGAGAAGAGGCCCCCGCGGGTAGCGCCTGCGGGCACACGTGCCGTGGGTGGGCTCGTGCGCCCCCCAGATCCGGGCGTCGTCGAAGGCAACGCGAGGGGCGGGTGGGCTGAGGGGGGACGCCTCGACCCCTCGGTCCTCCTCCTCTCCTCCTCCTCCTCCTCCTCCCTCCTCCCTGCCTCCTCCTCCTCCCTCCTCCTCCTCTCTTCTCCTCCCTCCTCCTCCTCCTCCTCCTCCTCCCCCCCCCCCGGGTCGTCTCCTCCTCCTCCTCCGCCTCCTCCTCCTCCACTCTCCTCCTCCTCCTCCTCCTCCTCTCCTCCTCCTCCTCCTCCTCCTCCTCCTCCTCTCCTCCTCCTCCTCCTCCACTCTCTCCTCCTCTCCTCCTCCTCCTCCTCCTCCTCTCCTCCTCCTCCTCCTCCTCCTCCTCCTCCACTCTCCCTTTCCTCCCCCCGCTCCTCCTCCATGCCTCCTCCTCCGTCGCCGAGGGGGGCCCGAGAGCCCACCCTGCCCAGGCGCGCGCGGGCTCGCCATCGGGGACCTATGGCAGGTGTGCCGGCGAGGTGTCGCCGATTCCAGGCCGATGTTCCCCTCCGCCACACCGAGCCAGTTACCCCCTGGCGCCGTCCCCCTGCTGCGCCCCCCCCCCCCCCCAAGTCCGGGCGTCGTGCGGGGGGGCGGGGGCTCTGGTCGCGCTCATGCCGGGAAGCGGGGTCGGAAGCGGCAAGTCCGGGCGTCGTGGGGGGGCGGGGGCTCTGGTCGTGCTCATGCCAGGAAGCTGGCTCCACAAGTGGCGGCGATCGGAAGCGGGGTCGGCCAGCTGCGTGGACACTCGCGCCCAGAGCTGCGCGGTCGTAAGACGGTGCGTGGTCGCCCTCGTTGCCGGTGCAGCGCGCCGCGCGGGCGGCCCGCGTCAGCCACCGCGTAGGGTGTCAGACCCGTTTCTTTCCGTCGCTGGCGTGGCATGACCAGCTCGGGGCGAGGGCTGGAATGATGACATGCGGCCGCATGTCGACCCATCGCTCTGCCCTTCTACGGCTGGGCACGCTGGGCTTCCGCATGCGTATCCAGCGCGTGGCCTGCGGATGTTCCACGTGCGGGTCCAGGCACGTGTGCTTCCAGTTTCCTGGTCACGACGCCGTCATTCTCCGCAGAAAGCGCCCTACACCATCGCGCCTGGCCAGGCATTCGGTGGTTACTACAGGTGTGTCCAGCCCAGTGTGCTTGGAGCTTTTCGCCCCATATTGGAGCCCCATGGGTCCCTCTGGGCCTCCCGAAGGGTGCTCTGGAGGCCGTTGGGGCCTCCTCGGCTCCTCGGAGATCCTGGCGACACCTTGGACCAAGGACGCCTCTGGCAACGCCTGAGGCATGGTGGCGGCCGTGTGTCGGTGCCTTCGGCGTGTTTGGCTTAATTTGCCGACGTCGGGGGAATGTGCTCGGTGGCTTCCTGCTCCTATATGTAAGCTCCTTGCTTATCTGATGGCCTTCTGCCCATCCTGCCACAGTGCATGGGTTGTGGGTGTGAAGCCACTTGGATGTTCGTTGGGATCTCGTGGGGGGCCTCTCGGGGGCCCCTTGGAGGCAGTTTGGAGGCCTCTTCGGGGCCGTTTCGGGGCCTTTTGAGGCCTCTTTGCGCCTCTTGGGGGTCTCTTGGGGCCTCCTGCGGGCTTCGTGGGGGCCTCTTGGGGCCTCCTGGGCGCCTCCTGTAGGCCTCCTGGGTGTCTCTTCGGGTGGAAGGCGTGTATTTGTTATTCGTGCTCCCTCTCTTGGGCCCCTTTTCCCTTTTGGGGCCGTCTTGGGGCCCTCTCTGGGCCGTCTTGGGGCCCAGGATCTTTCAAACATTTTAGGAACGTCCGTGATTTGTTTGGCCTCTTGGGGCCCTTTGGGAGGCGCCTATACCGACGGATGCTCGGGAAAAGACAACGGGTCGTGGACCACGCGAGATTCGGTGCGCCGTTCGAGGCATTGCACTGGGTATGGTTGGCGCGTCACTGGCCCAGGGGCCAGCGTGCTGCCGGAGGACGCCACGGGGGTCACGGTCATCGAGGGGGGTCGTGGTTGAGGGTGTCGCGGGCCCGTCCGGGGGCGGGCTCGGTATGCCATCGTATTGTGGAGGGCTGGTTTTTGTATACTACGCGTGGCTCAAGCTGGTGGGGTCTGTCTGTGGCGAGACGCTCTCGTCCGCCCTGTCCGGGTGCTGAGCCGAAGAACGTCCAAGAATTTGTGCCGTCATGTGGACGCCATTGCACCGCAGAGCTGGACGTCCCTGGTGGCAAATCCGGGTCTGGTTGCACAGGACGGAGGATGCCTCCGCATGGCGACCCTCGAAGGCGTTGCCGGGAAGCAGGCTTTGGTGTATTCGGATATAGTCCGCAGTTAGCGGAAGCTGGCAGAAGTCAGCTGCCCCCAAGGATTACACCGTCCGTTGTTGGGCGGGGCCAGGGGTTTTGGAGCACGGGGTGGCCTCGTGCGGTGTGGACCGGTTCGATTGAGCACCCAACGGGTGCCTTTCCTCCCCCGCGGATCGGGCTAAATCGCTGTCGGTTCCATCGTGCATGCGATTTCGCCGATCTGCGGGCACAGGCAGTCCGTGGGCATCCGTGGTCGAGAGCGAGGCGGGAGGCCGGGGCTTGGCGCAAGCGCGCTCGTCGGCCCGGGTACCGCCGCAGCCCTTTTGGGGTTTGGTCGACTACAAGATGAACTATTCCGTTCTTTGGGTCAAAGGTCGCATGATAAGTCAATGCCCAGACGTGCCCCCACAGGGGGTATGAATTCTTGACGCTCCGCGTATCACCTTTTTTCATTGGCCTCCCCCCCATCGGTGGCTTTGAGAGTGATCGGCGTTCTCGGTGACGCGCACGCACTGGGTGCCACGTGAATGAGTCCGCCGCGCTTCCGCCTCTCCTGCGCTCTGATTCTGCCCTGTCGTCTTCGCTCGCGTTTGTTTGGTAGGGCCGTTTGTTTCGCGCGCCACCTGGCTCCGCTCTCTTTCTTCCGGATGCCGGTCGGTACTCCACCTGCGGGTCGGGCCTAAGTTTTGTGGTTGCCCACTTGTGGCCGCCTCTCTTCCGCTGGCATCCGCCCAGCGGTTTTTTGCTTGGGTCAGCATGTACTCTTCTGGCAGGGTGCCGGTCCGGCTTCCCACCTGCGGGTCCGGCCTGTGTTCGTTCGTTGCCCGAATGTGGCCGCCTTCCTCCTAATTGGTTTTGCAGGTGCACTCCGCGCATTCTCGCGCTAATTATCTTGCGCTGTGCCCCAGCCTCGGTCATACCGCCCTTTGGACTTTTCCTTGCGGGCCGCTAGTCCAAAAAATAGTATCACCTTTCTTTTGTTTTGTCTGCGGCCGCGCGACAACGGTCTGGCGGCGAGGGGCAATGTCCGGGGCGGGCGGCACAATGCGAATTGGCGACCCCAACCGCCATGTTGGCAGGCCGGTTCGCACCTGCACAACAAGCGCGCCGTTGCACATGCATTGCACAAAATGCTCTGCATTCACCAACAGACGCACCTAGGCGCCGCACAGTAAACCAAAGTGAACAAGCGGCCGCGGGTGCGAGTGCAACGGAGTGAGTCGCCGGTGCGGCGCCAAACTCCAAGCAGCCAGCCCGGCTAGCTAAGAGACACGAGCCGGAGAAACCGGGCTGCTGGCGGTGGAAAACAAGTGGCAAAGCGAGCGCGGAAGGCTGAGCCACTCAGCGCGCAGCCCTCAGACTCCACCGCTCAGTTGGGGGGGGCCAGCGGCCCAGGGGTCAGGCGGGTCTTGCTTCACGGCACAACCTTAATTTTCGAGCATTTTGCTGGGCTGCAAGTGCCTGAGCTTCCCTGGGCGCGCTCAGCTTGCCATCTCCCCCGCGCAGCCCGCCGCTGCTTGGTGAGTGGGCTGGCCGGCCTGCGGCGCGTTTAGTAGCTGATTAGGCCGCTTCCGTGTCCCGGAGCGCTTCTGACTCCGCCAGCGCCTTCGCTGATGGACGCGACCGAAAAAGTATCCCCGTCAGGTTTCAGGTTCGTCAGTATCCCCTCTTGAAACGTACAATAGCTCGTTCCTGCGTGCTCTTGTGCGGAATTTTGTCCGCTGCTTGTTAGCCGCGTTTCTTGACGGCGCTTGGCATCCCTGCGCGCACGCGAACAAAAAGTCTCCGTCAGCCCATCCAGAAACAGGATCGCCAGGCGAGCTGCCTTGATCAGGAAAGTGCAGGAGCATGCGGTGCAACAATCGCCTTGGAAGTGTTTTTTTTCGGAGGTCTCTTGGGGCCATCTCGGGTCTCTCTTGGGGTCCTCTCGGAGCCACTGGGGGCAGGCCTTCTTGGGGCTCTTTTGGGGGTCTAGAGCCCTCTTGGGGCTCTTTGCGATGAGCCTGTGGGGCCTTTTGGGCACGCTGTTCAGAAAATGGGGAGTAATCAAGTCAGGCCCCCCCGTGGGAGGCTCACACATGGCGTCTTGGGGCGCTCTTGGGGCGCTCTTGGGCACTCTTTGCGGCACTCTTGGGGCCCTCTAGAGCCCCTCTTGGGGCTCTGTTGGGCCGCCTCGGGGCCATCGCAAGGCTTCAAGAACCCATCGGAAGCGAAAAGGTGAGAAGGCAAACCACTTAGATTTCCTGTCGGTGTTCGGTCCATTATTTGGGCCTCTTGATGAGGGTCCGTGGACGGCTCGGGGGGGCACCGTCTTCGAGCCGTCTTGAGGCCTCTGGGATGTTTGCCGGAGGCTATCTTGAGCCATCTTGAGGTATCTTGAGCCATCTCGGAGGCCATATTGGGCTCTTTGAGACCCTCTTGGAGCCATCTTGGGCCATCTTGGACGCTATAATCCCCTCCGCTTCCCCCCCCCCCCTTCCCCAGGCCCAGGGGACGGGGCAGGGGGGAGGGGTCAAGTTACGCACCCGCCCGCAAACCATTTTGCTCACCCCCACCCGTCCTCCCAACACATCAGTAACACCTGAGCCTCAGCATGTGCAGCTGTCGACTTTGGACGGACAGCTACTGCGAGCCAAACCCGAGCCCATGTGCGCGACGCTGGGGCGAGGTTCGCCGCACGTGCCAGGCGCGCCACGCGCGCCAGGCATCCCGGGGGCCCGAGCGTGCCAGGCACGCCTGGTGCGCCAGATGCGCCACGTTCCTACGCGTGCGCGAAGTGTGCCGCATACCCCAGCCGCGCCAGGTGCGCCACGTTCGGGGCACGTGTCAGGTGCGCCTGCGCACGTGACAGCACACATCGGGAAGCATGCCGGCCCCCACCATCCATGTCGAAAACCGATGTCCATCATTGTGTCTGGCGGGCCTGCACACAGCAGGCCATACGCCACCACTGGACAGTGATCGCGGGGCGGCCGCGCACGATCCAGATTTAGCCGCGAGGTGCAGTTTGTATTGTGCTTTGTCAGGGATGGTCGCCCTGCGCGCAGCAGGCAATATGCTGATACCCCCGCCGTTCTCATCAAAAAACAATGCGAAGTGCTCGCGGGCCTCGCGAACATAACTCCAGACTTTGCCCCACACTGTACTTTGTATTGTTTTTTGGCAGGGATGGTGTGGGGGGGTGGGCATGGGGTCCTCATGGTTCCTGGTTGGCTGCTGGTCGTCTGGGGCAGTGGGTGTATACGAATAGAGAACAATGATAAACCCTTCCCCCGAGCAGGGGAATGAGGTATTTTTGCAGAGAGACGACAAAGTTCATTAAACCGCCTACGCCCAGAGGGCTGGTGGGATTTTCCAACCGCCCTGGGAAATCGAGTCAGCAATATCTCGCATTAGCATCGAACATCGGAGGTCCGCGCGGACCTCTGACATGTTTTTATGTTCATGCCGATGTTTGTGTGGACAGGCGTCCCCGATACCGAAACACCTTACCTGGTACCGTTTTTCGCCGGCTAACCCACAGCCGCCCTCCCGCACCACGTTCCGAGAAGCAGTGGACGGCATCATCTCATCGTCTTTGAGTGAGGTGGGGATGGTCTCTGCCTTCTCTCTTGTTCTCTCTCCTTCTGTCTCTCTCCCTCTCTCTGACTTGTCGCACACTGTACCGTCTTCGTGTTTCACCTCGGCTGGGCTGCCTGCACCGCTATGAGTTCTAACTGTGTATCCGCACCCCGCCCGTGCGCCGGAGGACCTCGAGTGCGATGCGTTCTTCCCGGCCTTCGACGACACCAAGTTTCAGGTGGTGCACTTGAGCAAGGCGTGCCGCATCTACCCGCGGAGAGGAGGGGAGGGGAACGACAGCAAGAGGGGGAGGAGGCCAGAGGATGATGATGATGATGATAATGAGTATGATGATGATGATGATGATGATGATGATGATGATGATGATGATGATGATGATGATGATTATGATGATGATGATGATGATGATGATGATGATGATGATGGCGGTCGTAGTGGTGATGATGATGCTGATGCTGATGATGATGCTGATGATAATGATGGTAATGGTGATGGTGATTGTGATGGTGATGGCGATGGTGATGGTGTTGTTGATGATGATGAGGATGACAATGAGGATGAAGATGATGATGATGATGATGATGATGATGATGATGATGATGATGATGATGATGATGGTGATGGTGATGGTGATGATGATGATGATGATGTTGATGATGATGATGATGATGATGGTGATGATAATGAGGATGAGCATGAGGATTAGGATGGTTATGATGATGCGGAAGAGGAGGAGGAGAAGGAGGAGGAGCCACAAGTTCCCTTATCAAAGGTCCCTACGGTTATTTCATCATCATCATCAACATCATCCTCCTCATCATCATCATCAGATTGTGAAGGCCGCACGGCCAGACGGCCGGTTCAGCCGACCCAGAAGGACGACGACCACCACCACGACGACGACCACGACGACAACGACAACGACTGGGTGATGACCCTGCCACAGGCTCGGGACATGGGGCGGGCGGTGGAGGCAGGAGTAAGAGGAGGAGGAGGAGGAGGAGGAGGAGGAGGAGGAGGAGGAGGAGGAGGACCAATGCAAACCCAAGACTCATCAACGATGTTGGAATACACCCTCCCTCCAAGCGCCCACTGCATCCACAAGGGTTCGTTTCCACTGAGGGAAGCGCCACGTTAGGGGACAACCGTGTGAAAACCCTGCGGCGTGCCAAGACACCATTCGCATAACTTCAACGCCACGAATCAAACTGACCGTTGCGTCCCGACGGTCTTGAATCGTGCCAGAACACCATTTCGGGGACTTCGACTCCACGAACCAACGTAATTGTTCCGCCCTTGCAATCCTCAACTGCTCCAAACACACGATTTCTCGAGAGTTGGCGCAGCGCGCCCCCGGAAAAAGGTGCTGACGCTCTGGCACTCTTGACGCTCATGACGCCCCTGACGCTCAGGAGGAGCGTCAGGGGCGTCGAAAGCGTCAGGAGCGTCAGGGGCGTCGGGAGCATCAGGGAGCGTCGGGGGCGTCAGGAGCGCCAGGAGCGTCAGGAGCGTCAGGAGCTTCAAGGGGCGTCAGGAGCGCCAGGAGCGTTAGGATCGTCATGGGGGCTTCTGTAGCTCCGGCGCCGCCGCTCGAGACATCCTGACGAGTCTGGCGCCGCCGCTCGAGAGACATCCTCACGACTCGGGCGCCGCTGCTCGAGGCATCAGGAGCGTCAGCAGCGTCAACCTCTGGACTGCCAAGAGAAGACCAAATGTTTTCCTTCCTCCTCTCCAGACTTCCAGCCACGACGGCCTCCCGTACGACTTCATCGTGTACGAGCAGAAGGCCATGGCGGCCGCGAGATCGAACCACTCTCCGGTCCGCGCCTCGGATGAATAACGATCACGTCGACGTCGGCGGTGTCGTGGTTGTTGTCGTTGTCGTTGTCGTCTTCGACGGAGGAGGAGGAGAAAAAAGAGGAGGAACAGTTGAAGGAGGAGGAGGAAGACTACGGAGGACGGATACGGAGGAGGGGGAGGAGGACTAGGGCGGAGGACGACAGAAGGAGGGGACGGCGGACGAGAGGAGGATGGGGGTGTGGGGTAGAGCGGAGGGGGGGGATTTCGCGATACAAGGAATATCGAGGATGGGGACAGTAGATGCCACCAGGTATGGTGGATGGGGGTGGATGTTGAGGAGGAGGAGGACGAGGAGTGGAAGAATGAGGAGGATGATGAAGGAGGATGGGGATGATGAGGTGGATGAGCATGGCGAGGAGCATTTGAAGGATGTGGAAGCTGATGAAGATGTAGAGGAGGACGAAGATGTGGCGGAGGGAGCGGAGCAGCAGCCAACGCAGGAGCATGCGAGGCTATGCCGGAATAACAGGGGGGGGGCTTAAAGAAGACGAGACGGCCGGACGAGTCGCACCTCCCACATTCCTCCATCTTCGGCTCTGGCTTTTTCTTGGGGCTTAGGCGGCGAATGTGCCATCCTCAGGCTCTGCAGGCGGGCTTGCCCCGAAGTCTTCGGCTGCAGTGGCCGATCCTCGTGCTCTGCAGGTGGTGCAGCTGGCCCAGCCGCCGTGCCTTCCTGCGACCCCTGCGGTCGCTGGACGGCTCAGGCCTGAAGCGATCCCCCCGACGCGTGAGCACGACCATGCGTCCACGCCACCGTCCGCCGCCGCCTCCCTGCGTCGTCGACCTCCCTCCCGGCAGCCCCTCCTCCTCACCCGCCCTCCCTCGGGGGACGCCGGGGCTCGAGCTCGCCGACGTGTTTTGACGAGCGCGTCCTGGAACTTGACGGTCCTGTGCTCGTGGGACGTTTGCAGCCGGAGCCCGCGTCGAATTTCAGGTGGGGCCTCGTCCTTTTTATGATGGCCCCGCCAGGCCAACCCGAGTCCCCCGTATCCGAGTCTTACGTCTCCCCGACAGGAGCGCCCTTCTTCTTCGAAGGCGCGGGCCTGACACTCCGTCGCCGCATCGAAGAATAGTGGACGGCTTGAGCAGAAACCGTTGGGGAGCTCCGCGCGGATTTCTTGGACATCCGCGCTGGGCACCCCGGCGGCGCCTCCCGCGCCGCTCCCCGGCGCGCCCCGCGCCCCACCCTGATGGTCCGCTACCGAAAATTTTCGGTAGCGCTCCGCAGAGATCGGTCGCTACCGAAATACCGAAATGTAGCGCCCAATACCGGTATCAGACCGTTCTGAAATCCGCTATTTCAACGCCCTCCAACGAAGATCCGGTCGCTACCGAAATTCGGGGTGCGTCGAAATCGGTATGCCGAAAGTTTCCGGTACCCGACCATCTGGGCAGCGCGAGTCCCGGGCTCCCCTGCCGTGCGCCTCCACCTCCCGGGGCCCCCCGTCGTGCCCGGGGTGCGCGCCCAGGCCCTGCCCGCCCCGCTCGCGAAGCCCACGGGGCCGGGGCCGGGGGGCCCGCTCCGCCCCGCCCCCCGCCCGTCGGGGGGCTATATGGCCGCCGCTGGCCGCTCGCGCCCGGCCGGGGGGAGGCGCGCGCCCCAGACCCCCTCGCGTCATGGAAAAATCACGACGGGAGGTTTTTTGCCATTTTCGGCCTCCGGGGGCCCTCGCCGGGCCTCGGGACCGTCAAAAAACGACTCAGGATGAAAAACCAGTCCCAGGGAAGGGGTCGGGACCTCTGGGGGTCGCGTCATGAAAAAAAATCATGACGTCGGGGGTCTGGGGCCCGAGTCACGGGAGGGAAGCCCACCCGGACCCGACAATTTGGCGGTTTCTCCACGGCCCTGGGCGTTTACTATAGAAACCTCGGGGGTGGGCAGAACCCCCACCCCGACACGTCGATTCGTGAACTGTTCGTCCTTCGCTTCTCGGGAGAGGGCGCCGCGGCCGTCATTTTCCAGGCTTGCGCCCGCCAGGTTTTGGGCCCGAGGCCGTTTCCACTAAGCCACGTTCCACTATATCAAGGGGGTCCGGTCCATCCCCGAAAGCAGCCCTGCCACGCTTGATTCCTTCTTTGGGGGGGTGCGTTTACGAGACGGCCTCGCGCGTGCCGGGGTGGCTATTCACTATCGGGGTGGCTCTTCTGCCTGCCACTGCGCCCCCGGCCGAGGGGGTCCGGTCCATCCCCGATCGAGGCTCGCACTGGTGCACGGGGGGGGGGGGGGGGCGCTGCAGGGACAGAGCCGCGGCGAGGGACCCGTGCAGCAGCGAGCCCCTTCCGTTCCAGCAACGCTCCTTCTTTCGGCGCTGGTTGCCCAGAGGTCCCACGCTCCAGAACAGCTGGAGCCGCGCGATGCTAGCAATTTTCGGCCTCTGGGGCTCCAGAAAAACTGGAGCGGCGTGCTTTTAACACTTTTCGGCCCCTGGGGGCCCTCGCCGGGCCCCGGGAGCGTCAACAAAAACGACTCAGGACGAAGAACCGGCCCCAGGGAAGTGGTCCAGACCTCCCTGGGGCCCACACATCAAAAGAATTGGAGCGGCCAGATGACAGGGTTCCCTACTTCAGCGCTGGTTGGAGGATCGCACCGCATCGCGGATGCATCGGCGATGGGGCTCGATTGGGAGCCTGATCGTTGCCACGCCGACGTCGCCGCATCGCCGACGTCGCCGATGTATCGGCGATGCATCGGAGATGCGGCTCGATCCTCCGACCCCATGTTCACGGACCCATGGGGGTAGCCTCTATTCCTCTGCCACTCCTCTTAGCACCTCCCCCTTCCACCCCTCACTCTCGGACGCAGCTCTCGATGGTCTCCAGAAGGTGTGTCAGCGCGTGCCGGGCCTCGCGCGTGCCGGGGTGGCTCTTCGCCACCAGGGTGGCTCTTCTGCCCTCCGCTGCGCCCCGGCCCCCGCGGCGTCCCGCCGAGGCGCAGGGGCTGGCGCCGGGGGGGCTGGCTCTTCCGTAGGCTGTTTGGGCCAAGCCTCAGAGCTGAGGGCTAGCAAAGCCGAGTCCACGTTCCCAACGCGTGGGAGGCATACGGAAAGACTCTAGATCAGATTTGAGTCTGCGACGCCAAAAACAAGAGAGCGCCGGGGGGGCGGGCGGCGGCGGCGGCGTGGCGCCGAGGCGCTGGCCGCCCTGGGCGGCGCGGGGCGGCTCCTGCACGAGGAGTAGCCGCGGCGCCTCGCGGCAGACCGCGCGCGGGCGCCTCGCTGGCTCCTCCTCCTCCCCCTCCTTTTCCTCCTCCTCCTCCTCCTCCTCCTCCTCCTCTTCTGAGGAGCGCCCCTCGTTCTCAGAATCGAAGGAGGAAACACGCCATAAACAGAATTAACCTTTTGGCGCTCCGCACGGGTTTCTTGGATCCGCGCTGGGCCCCCCCCCGGCGGCGCCTCCAGCGCGGCCTCTGGCGCGCTCCGCGCGCCAGGCAGGGAGTCCAGCGCAGATCACAGGGATCCGCGCGGAGCGCCAGTCGTTAATGGTTATGCCGTTTGTGTTTCTTTCATAGACGGCGCGGGCCCTGTCTGTACAGTCGAGACTGATTAGTAGGTTGACCCTGCCAAACCAAGGGCAGCCTTGTGTCCTGAGCTTCACGACCCATGCCTTCTCACATTCCTATGGCAATATGGCTCTCGGAAGGGTCTCGTGTCCTCTCGCGTGCCCTCTCCAATCAACCTCGACTGTAGATGCAGGACCGGCACCTTCTAAGAAGCGGCCTCCTTCCGAGGAGCCTTCCCCCCTCCACCTGCCCCCCTTTTCGCGCGCCGCCAGCCTCTCTGCCGCCCTCCTCCTGGGGCCTCCCAGATGGCGTCGGAGCAGAGCCGAGCTGCCGTGAGGTCGGGCATGTCCCCCTACAGGAGGAATATCCAAAAATGGTCAAACCATCATCCGGGGGCGATCTTTCGTGCATTTGCCGACTATTTTTCTGTTTTGACTATTGTTGTTTCTTCTTCTAAGCTCCGCCTGCAGGAGGACAGGCCCGACCTAACAGGCTGCCACCAGGAGGATGCGGCCGACATCGAGGAGCGGGGCCCCTCTCTGGCCCCTGTGTTCGGGGGTGGGCAGAACCCCCACCCTGACACGTCGATTAGTGAACAGGGACTCTCTTGGAGGCCCTGCGTAAGCCTCGGAGTCGTATTGAAGGGGAACTGCGGAAACGCAGAAATCATTAATTGCCGTTAGGTATTCAACGATTTGGGGCCCTCGAAGGCTTCCTGGGTTGTTCGTTCTCGGTTCTCGGGAGAGGGTGCCGCGGCCGTCATTTTCCAGGCGTGCGCCCGCCAGGTTTGGGCCCGAGGCCGTTTCCACGTTTCCACTAAGCCACGTTCTACTATCAAGGGGGTCCGGTCCATCCCCGAGAGCAGCCCTGCCATGCTTGATTCCTTCTTTGTGGGGGTGCGTTTACGAGACGGCCTCGCGCCTGCCGGGGTGGCTATTCACTATCGGGGTGGCTCTTCTGCCCGCCACTGCGCCCCCGGCCGAGGGGGTCCGGTCCATCCCCGATCGAGGCTCATGCGGGTGCACGGGGGGGGGGGGGGGCGGCGCTGCAGGGACAGAGCCGCGGCGAGGGACCCGTGCAGCAGCGAGCCCCCTCCGTTCCAGCGACGCTGCTTATTTCGGCGCTGGTTGCCCAGAGGTCGAGGTCCCACGCTCCAGAACAGCTGGAGCCGCGCGATGTTAGCAATTTTCGGCCTCTGGGGCTCCAGAAAAACTGGAGCGGCGTGCTTTTAACACTTTTCGGCCCCTGGGGGCCCTCGCCGGGCCCCGGGAGCGTCAACAAAAACGACTCTGGACGGAGAACCGGCCCCAGGGAAGTGGTCCAGACCTCCCTGGGGCCCACGCATCAAAAGAATTGGAGCGGCCAGATGACAGGGTTCCCTACTTCAGCGCTGGTTGGAGGATCGCACCGCGTCGCTGATGCATCGGCGATGGGGCTCGAGTTGGAGCCTGATCGTCGCCACGCCGACGTCGCCGCATCGCCGACGTCGCCGATGTATCGGCGATGCCTCGGCGATGCGGCTCGATCCTCCGACCCCATGTTCACGGACCCATGGGGGTAGCCTCTATTCCTCTGCCACTCCTCTTAGCACCTCCCCCTTCCACCCCTCACTCTCGGACGCAGCTCTCGATGATCCTCCAGAAGGCGTGTCAGCGCCACCGCGGGCTTGTGCACCGAAGCCCTTCGAGGCGACAGAGGCGGTGCAACGAGGGCTGGCACGGGCTGCGTCGTGTCGGTGGAGATGAACGGGGTAAGCACACGATCCGAGGAGCATCGAAACTCCCCCCTGTCGCACCACCAGACGCGTTCGAAGGCCAGGCCGGGCGCTTCGCTTGGCACGCCCCTACGACGTACAGTCGGGGCCCTGAAGAAGGAACCCTTTTCGTTGGGGAGGGGCTCCGCGTTCCTTAAGTGTTTCACAGCTTGCCTCAGGCTTTCCTTATGTTTTCGACAGGAAATCGAAGGTTAACTTATGGAAAAAAGGGGCCTCGTTCCTTATTTAGGGTTCCTTAGGTCAACGCCCCGACACCGACGTTTCAGTTATCCAACGGTCACGCGGAGGGACAGCTGGTCGTTTTCAAAATGTGGTTCTCGCCACATCGCCGCGCACATTAGTCTGACCAGTTTCTAGCAGTTGCGCGGATGCTGGGCCAGCGCCGCTCATATTCGTTTCAAGCGTTACCAGCAACTGCACGAAAGGAAGCTGGCAGGTGCTCAGATGGGGCTCGTTTGACAGAGACTGCCACAAGTGCGATATTGTGCCAACGTTACACGGATACAGGGCGCCTTGTCTCTTCTCTCTTAAAACTTCGTATGGTGTGACGAACAGATGCTATACACGTGTGCAACAGTTGCTGGATGTTGGGAAGTTCCTTCTCCAAGCGGAGCTACCGATGGACATTGTCTTGAATGTTAAGTCGCCACCTTGTCGCATTTCTTCTAGCTCGAAGGATGGTGGGTGGCTTCCTTCGGAGCGGAGCTTCCGCCTGCATTGTGAGCCGATGCGGCGCTCGTTTCAAAGGGTCGTGTGTTGTGTGCAGTTAGAGGGGGCTTCGGCCGGAATAGTGCATTACAGCATCGTCGGTTGATCTTGTGTTTACTCGGGCCCGTCTCCCTCTCCACCATTCCTGGTACCCGTCCCGACGTATCCTCTCTGCGGGGAGAGGGAGTGGAGGCAATGAGGGAGTGAGGGAGGAGGGATGAGGCGGAGGGAGGGGTGTAGTGGCGCGGATAGTGGAGGGATGGAGGGAAGAGGGAGCCAGAGGCAGGGAGGGAAGAGGGAGGGAGGAAGAGGGAGAGGCTTCTGGAGGCTTCAGGTTCAAGAGTGCTGCTTGTTAGAAGAACCCATGGGGATACTAAGGGACATCGAGGTGCGGCGCGGGCGGGGCTCTTGGATGCAAGAAGACAATCCCGCTCCTGCTCCTGCTCTTTTTGTGCCCTCCCCCATACCCCGCACGCTCCCCTCCCCCCCCCCCGGGGCCATCCTCCTCCCCCTCCTGCACCTCCTACAGTTGACCCGCATCGTAGGGATGGGCAACCTTCCCGAGGGTACCCTTGCATACTCGCCTCCTCGGCCCATCCTTGGCCACTTTCGCTGGCCGCGCCCCGCTCGAAGAGCCTCGAAGTGGGCGTCCAGGGCCCCTGCGTCCTCATCGAGCATCTGGCCCCCCAGAGGCCTCCACGACGGCCCAAGAGGCCTCCAAGAGGTCCTCTTGGAGGGCCCGTAGAGGCCAAACTCACTTGTTTTCCCGAAGTTTTTGAAGGATTTTGGCGTTCGCGCCTCTTCTCGGCCTCCCGATGACCCAAGACGGCCCAGGAGGCCCCCAACCGAGATCGCCCCCACAGCGCCCGACTGCATCCCGCGTCCTCTCCGCTCCCCTTCTGGCCCCCCCCCTCCGCCTCCGCGGGCCCCCCCGGGCTGGGGGGGGCCGGCCGCCGGGCCAATACCTCGACGCCATCCGCGAGATCATCGAGCGGGGAGTGCCGACCGCCGAGCGCACCGGGGTGGGCACCAGGCCCGCGGCGCACCCGCCCCTGCCGCCAGAGACCTCGCCGAGGGCGTGATCTTGGCATCGCTCGGACGTTTGCTTTTTTTCCTTCGGCGAGGACCATCGAGGAACCTCCTTGATCATTTGGCGAAAGAACCACGCACGAAACAGAAAAACACACAGGGAATGGACGTCCGAGCGATGGCGAGTGATAGGGAGGGAGTGGGACGGCGTACAGCGGAAGCCCCTGCCGAGAAGCACCCTGCTCGCCTCGAGGGGTGCCCTGGGCCTCTCTTGGGCTTCGACGGTTCTGCCGTGGGAAGCGCGGCGTTCCCACGCCCAAGACCGAGGGACGTCCGGGGGTCTCAGGGTTGGGTTTCTTGCGGAAGGCTTCCTGTGGTCGACCTCCGACTGCAAATGCGGGGGGCGCCACGAAGGAGCGGGTGAAGGAAGGCGCACCCTTCGTGCACCTTCCGGACCCAGGGTTCAGTCGGGCGTGCACCTCCACACGAGGGTTAGCGTAGCGACGATTTTTCTTGCTCTTTTGACTCTGTCGACGATCTTTTGGCTATTTTTCATTCGTCCAAGGTCCGCCTGTAGGAGGACATGCCCGTCCGAACCCCAGGGTGACCCTTGCGAGGGTGCGCGAACGGTGCACCTACAGGGCTCGTTTCGATTCCTCCGATTCGGTCCGATTCGATTCGACTTCGGATTCCGACTTGGATTCCGATCAATCAATGAGGCCTTGCTACTCTGCCGACTTCCGCCGATTCGACTCCTCCCGACCTGGCTGTCGATTTCCGCCGATCCGATGGATTTCGAGCGCCCATTCGTCTCATCGATTCGATTCTGGGCTCTCCTGCACCTGCCTTCTCCGTTCAAGCTGCCCTGCGCAGTTTGCTTGACGAAAGTGCTGCTGAGTTCCAAATCACCATTACCTCTGCCCTACTTGACGTGGATCGCTTTCATGATCGTCTCGACCCTCTGCTCGTGCTTGAGTTAGGCACGAAACACACTTACCCTTGTGCCGTGCTCGCCATTCGCATCCAGCTGCACTTAGCCCCATCGAATCCAGCGTAGCCTGCGTTCTCTCTCTCTCTCTCTCTCTCTGTCGGATGCCATCCTTCCGTGGTGGGCGTTGCTCGCGGGTTGCAGATCGGCCCAGCAGTTGGCGGCGCGTGTGTTGATGGGTCTTATGTGTGAAAACGATTCCAGATTTCAGCCAGGGCTCGAGGCACGCCTTTGGGTCGATGATGTGAATAGCAGAGCCGAGGGCACAGCCCAGATCGCCACTGCCAATATTGTCGCTTTTGTCCAGGAATTAAAGGAAGGCCTCTGGACCAGTTGCGATTGACCTGCTCCAGTAAGTCTTGCAGTATCGTTTCGCCACCGCTCATTGCTAAGGAGGTGGGCAACAATTTCGCTGAAGCAGGCATCGTTGTGCAGGTTTCAGGTAGTGCCCCAGATCTCTGCATAGATCGGGGGCAGAATGTAAATCGCCGTCGCACTCGAGGCCTCCAGAGGTGGCGCAGAGGCGTGCGTAGAGGTGATCGAGTTGCCACCCTGCCCTCCATCAAGTCGCACATTCGTTGCAAGCTGTTCAAGAGTGGCGCAGTTCTTCAAGCTATGTGCGAATCTAGACTTTTGGGCGTGGCCCCAGGTGGACTTCAAAAAGCTGCGGCAACCCGCCGCTCGTGCCGTTTGGGAACAGAAACAAGGCAGGTGTCTCACCACAGTTTTGGCCCTCCGTTGTGGATCCAGGGGCCCCGCGGTTGTTGCTGTTATAGATTGTTGGTGGAGTGGTTCCGTTATCTTAAGGTGGACGGGGCCCCGATCGAGAGCCTCCGTGACGCTTGGGGGGGGGGGGGGGGGGGTATCCCAGAATCGTCGCCAACCCAGCCAACCGCAGGTGGTTCCGAATCCGAGGCCCTATCCCTGCTATTATCACCACCCTTCTATCTCTTGCATGGGACACCCCTGGGCCCCTCGAGTGGCGGGGTTCATTTGATGAGCGCTGGAAGGCCCCCGTCCAAGACCTCGTCTCTCTCCGCCCGTTTCTTGTTTGTTTCGACCCCTCCGACCTGCCGGCTGTCGTCCACAAAACCGCGGAGAGGAAGCTGCGGGCAGGCGCGTCCACCCAGCACTTCGGAGGAGGCATGGAGGAGGGTGTCGATGTTTCAGTTTACGTCAACAGCTCGCCGCGCTCGACAAAGCCCAGGAGTATGAACGTCGGGCGGCCATCGAGTGCGCCGCAGCTGCGGGCATGCGGCCCAGGCAGCGCATTGCAGAGTGTTGAATTGTGCAAAAGGTTGATCCTACATGTCCTAGGTGTGGCGCGGCCCCAGAAAGCCTTAGGCACCGTGTCTGGCAATGCCCTTGAAATTTTGGCATTCCTGAGTGTCAAGGCACGGACGACGTCGTAGAAGTTGCTGAGACAGCTCTAGATCAGAATTCAAACGTTTGTTTTTGGCCCCGTGGCATGATTCCGCCCACCCTCGCGTCCATCCCCGACCCCCCTGATGCAGTTGAACTGGGCGACGTTAGTTGCCCACCTCGTGGAGCTAGCGGAGGAGCGGCCCTAGGAGGCAGCGAACCCCAGCTGAGATCGTGGGCCTTCTCGTCGCGGGGGATGGGTCGGGCGGCGAGGGTGCTAAGGGCCCAAGGTTGAGGCGTTGTGCCTGGGCGTGGGTCGAGCTTGACCCGAGGGGCGTGGACGTCGATGCACTGCGCCGTCGGAGGGCCCCCCTTGCAGGCCGCAGACAGACCAGTAACAGAGCCGAGCTTCGGGCTTTCCTGGATTGTTGGCAGCAGCTGTCTGGTGATTTGACTTGTTCGTGCGATTCGGCCTACGTGGTCCGTGGATGGTTTAAAATCCTGGCGGGCGGTCTGCCCAAGTCGAATCTCGACGCGTGGTTTTCCGTGCCCCAGGAGGTCGTCTCAGGGCGAGGTCTAGTTAACGTTTGCAAAGTCGAGAGCCATGTCAGCGCAGAGAGGTTCCGTGCGAGCGGCCTCCCCGAACTGTTTCGCCTCGCCAATATGGAGGCCGATCGCGTCGTTTCGTGGGAAGCGGGCCAGTGCCAGGTTGACCCCCAGGTGGCCCAGGACGCGTTGGCCATCGACTCCCCTGCGCAGCAGGTTAGATTCCGCCCCGCTGCCACTCTCAGTGCGTCTGCGCCTCGCGACAGCCGTTCACAAAGAGAGAGGGCCAGGCCGCTCGGTGGCATTCGGAAAGCTGGCCTCAGTAAGCTCAAGAAGGCCGCCCAGTCTTCCCCTCATAAGAACGGCCTCCAGATTTTGGAATCTTGGTTTAGTTGCAGGTTGTGTCGTTATAAGCCCTCCAAGGAGGGGGTTATTGATTGGCTCGCAAACCCTTGCGCCCCGACTAGTTCCGCCGCTGCCCCCTCCGCTTCCTCCCGGGACCCCATTCGGATCGGCAACCAGATTGTGCGCGGCTCACGCACGTGTTTGTTTCTAGAGTATGCAGACGGGTGGGCGTGCACCAGTTGTGGGGCCATAGGGGTGGACACAGCCATCCACGGCCTCGCCCAGGAATGCGCGAATCGGAACTCTTCCAGAGGGGGAGACAACCTGCGGAAGTTGCAGCGAGGCCTCCTCCCAGGCGCCTCGGCCCGCGCGACGGCCTTCAACGAGAAGGCCCGCGAGGGACAGGGCGGGGTAGCCCACCTTCCTCCCCCCCCCCCTTGAGCTCACTGGAACGCTCGGTGCAAATCCCCTCCCCCCCCCCTGCCCCTCGCCTGCGATGCGTCTCGGTCCGCGCGGTCTCCAGGCTTAGGGCGGACTCCTCAGAATCCACGACTCCGCCCGTCCCGACTCGGCTAGGCACTTCCCTCCCTCCTCCTGCCCCCCCCTCGCCTTCGCCCCCCCCCTCCGGCCCCCGCTCCCTTGCCGCTCCTCTCCTTCCTTCTCCCTCCCCCGCCCCTCGCGCGGAGCCTCCCTCCCTCTCCCTCCGCCCTCCCCCCTCCCTTCCTGCCCCCCCCCCCCTCCCTCCTCGCCCCTGCCTCCCTCGCCCCCCTTCTTCCTCCCCGGCGCTCCGCGATCGGGGCGCTGGCGCGGCCCCCGTCGCCCTCCCTGCGCGAGTGCCCGGGGGCGCCCGCCGTGCCCCGCTGGCCCTGCGAGCGGGCGGGCAGAGGCGGTATGCCTCGTCTCTCCTCGCTCTCGTTTCCCGTTTCGCCTTCGTGCCTCGCTCGAAGAAGAACAACGACAGGGCTGTACCTAAACGGTGTTTTTGGCGATTTCGTGGGCCGTTTTCGTTTCGACTTCGTTTTGCGGTAAAGGTGGATTCGAGACAAAATCGAGTGAACATCAAAACAAAACGAAAACGAATAACACCGTTTAGGTTCAGCCTTGAACATCAACACATGAACAGAAACTGTTTTGCGCTCCGCGCTGATGTCTTGGATCCGGGCCTGGGCCCCCCGGCGGCGCCTCTGGCACCGCCCCTGGCGCGCTCCGCGCGCTAGGGATGGGGGGTCCAGCGCGAATCCAAGAAATCCGCGCGGAGCGCCAAACGTTTATGCTTATGTTTTGTTTCGCCTTCGTGCCTCAAGTCGCCCCCGGTGCACCCCACCGTTTGTTGACCGGCGTCTGACTGTCGTGGACCATTTTGGCGCCCGTTGGTTTTGAGAAGTTTGGCGGATGCGGCGTTACGCTTCCATGCGGAATTACGGAAGACCATTCAGGATATCATGCAGGAGGCCATGCCCTCGGGCCGCGTGCCATCGAAGCCAGATTCGGACTCGCATTGTACGAGGCCCTTCCGACAAACGCCCCATGGAAAAGCGGGTCGTTGAATATTTGGTTAAGCAGCCTCTGTTCCCTGGCACTTGTCTTGGGCGCCCGTACCTCCCTTGCGCAGGGGGCCGCGATGGTGTGCGACTTCGGACGGGGCCAGGACGAGGATAAATCTGCCCCAGGGCGTTCCGGAACGCTTTCAGAGCCCGGAAGGCTAAGCGAAGGCCGCGGCGCCAGACATATTCTCCAGAACCGCCCGATCTCAGAGGTTCTTTTGATAGCGGAGGAGGGGGAGGAGGAAAAGGAGGAGGAGGAGGAAGAGGAGGAGGCGGAGGAGGAGGAGGGAGGAGGATGAGGAGGAGGAGCAGGAGGAGGAGCAGGAAGAGGAGCAGGAGACGGACGAGGAGGAGGACGAGGAGGGAGAGGGAGAGGCGGAGGAGGAGGAAAAGGAGGGAAAGAGGGATAAGGAGGAAGAGGAGGAGGAGGAGGAGGAGGAGGAGGAGAAGGGGGAGCAGGAGGAGGATGAGAGGAGGGGAGGGGGGAGGGAGGAGGGGAGGAGGCGGAGGAGGAGGAGGAGGAGGAGGAGGCGGAGGAGGAGGAGGAGGAGGAGACGGAGGAGGAGGAGGAGGAGGAATAATAGTAGTAGTAGTAGTAGTAGTAGTAGTAGTAGTAGTAGTAGTAGTAATAATAATAATAATACTAATACAAATACTAATAATAATAAGAAGAAGAAGAAAAAGAAGAAGAATACGAATACGAATAATAAAAATAATGCTAATAATAAGAATGATGATGATAATAATCATAGTAATAACGATAATATGAATACGAATACTAATAATACGAATAATAATAATAGCAACAATAACAATGTCAATACCAATAACAATAACAATAACACATCCAATAGCAATGCCAACAATAATAAGAACAACAATAATAATACTATTAAGAATAATAACAATACTAATAATAACAATAATAGCAATTCTAATACTAATGAGAATAATGATAATAATGCTAATAATAATACTATTAATTCTAATACTATATTAATACTAATACTAATACTACTACTAATACTAATAATAATAATACTATTAATAAATTTTACTAATAATAGTAATGATAATACTAACAATAATAATACTAATAATACTAATAGTAATAATAATAATACTAATAATAATAATAATAATAATAATAATAAGCAGAAGAAGACAGAAGAGGAGAGCGAGAGGAGGAGAGAGGAGGAGAGGAGGAGGAGCAGAGGAGGAGAGAGGAGGAGGAGGAGGAGGCAGGAGGAGGGGAGGAGGAAGAGGAGGAGGAGGAGGAAGGGGAGGAGGAGGAGGAGGAGGATGGGGGGAGGAGGAAGGGGAGGAGGGGGAAGAGGAGGACGAGGAGGAGGAGGAGACGAGGAGGAGGAGGCGGAGGAGGAGGTGGAGGAGGAGGAGGAGGAGGAGGTGGAGGAGGAGGAGGAGGAGGGGAAGGAGGAGGAGGAGGAGGGGGAGGAGGTTGAGTTTCGTCTTGATATGCCGGCAGCCCTTGGGGAGGCCTGGCGTCGCGGTGCTGCGCCTTTTTGTCACTCGCCCGCGGCACTCTCTGTGCCGCGGGGGGGCGCCGTCCCCCCGGCGTCGCGCGCCGCAGGTCGGTGTTCGGGAGGCAGATGCGCTTCGACCTCAGCAAGAGCTCGGGGAACGAAGAATGACATAAACATAACAACTCGGGAGGTCCGCGCGGACTTTTCGGATCCGCGCTGGAGCCCCCTGGCGGCGCCTCCAGCGCCGCCCTTGGCGCGCTCCGCGCGCCAGGGAGGGGGGGCCAGCGCCGATCCGAGAATCGCGCGGACCTCCTGGTTTCTATGCTTCTGTCATTGTTCGTTTCCCTAGCAAGAGCTTCCCGCTGCTCACCACGAAGCGGACGTTCTGGCGGGGCGTCCTCGAGGATCGCGGGCAGTCTTTCTCCTCAGCCCCCAGCCTTCGACGAAGAGCGAAGCCGCTCAGAGAAGGAGGGGGACCTTGTGACACACCCCGAGGGGGCTACTCGGACGCACCTCTCTCGAGGACGGACGCCCCCCCATCGTGTAGCCTCCCAGGGTTGGGCCCCAACTGTTTGGGCCATTTTGAGGGCCCCACGAAGCCTGGGAGAGGGGTCGGCGTAGTACCCCCTGTCAGAGGAGAGGCGGGGCGCGGGACGGAGGAAAAGCTCCTGGCATCGCTCGGACGGGTGCACTTTCTTCCTCGGCGAGGGCCTCCTCCTCCTCCTCCTCCTCCTCCTCCTCATCCTCATCCCCCTTTCCCCCCTTTTCCTCCTCCTCCGCCTCTCCCTCTCCCCCCCACCTGCTCCTCCCCCTCCTCATCCTCCTCCTCCTCCTCCTCCTCCTCCTCCTCCTCCTCCTCCTCCTCCTCCTCCTCCTCCTGGACCCTCGGCCTTTTGCATCGCCCTGCGAAGCAAGGCAGCGCGCAGAGGCGACCGCAGGGCACGGCTGTGTGGGCGCCCGAGCGGCGGCTGGCTGGCCGCCCGGGGGTGGCCGAGGGTCGCCGGCCAGCGGGGGCAGGAGAACGAGGGGCGGCGGGCCGCGGCACCCTGCAGGTTCCGCGGAGCTCTACGTCGGGCGCGTCCCCCTGCAGGGAGATTCTCCACGAAGAAGGAAAGATACCCCAAACATACCCCCAAAAGGCCCCCAAAATGCTAAACAATAGTCCCCAGATCCATTTTGGATTTTTTTTTCGATACCCCCAAAATGCCCCCAAAAGGCCCAACAATGCTCAAACATAGTCTCCAGACTATTTTTGGATTTGTTTGTTTTATTATTTTGGGGGTAATATTTCATTTTTCGTCGAAAATCCTCCTACAGGGGGATTTTCCACCAAAAATGAAAGATTTCCCAACCCCAAACGGCCCAAAAATGCTCAAACATTGTCCCCAGACTATTTTGGGATTTTTTTTATTTGAATTATTTTGGGGGTATTCTTTTTTTTCCGTCGAAAATCCCCCTGTAGGGGGACAGGCCCGACTTACGCGGAGCTCCGGAAGGGGGAGGTCCGCACGGACATTGATTGTGCAGTTTACGCCGCAGCGCGGCTCGAGGCAGTCCGTCAAGCAGTGGCGAAGCGCCCTGGCGTGCCTATATAGGCCTACTAGAGAATGTTCTAAGAACCCTTTTTTGTGGTTTGCACGAGCTGTTCTCAGACCATGTCTCGCGGAGTCCGTCTTGTTTTAACACCTCGGGTTTATGTTCTAAGAACCTCGCTCTTGTTCGTAGAACATTTTGGGGTTCTAAGAACAGATCCTGGTAGGACGATGTGAATGCCGGGACGGTCGGCCCCTGCTCAAAGAACAAGGGCGGCGGGCCGTGGCACCCTGCAGGTTCGGCGGAGCTCCGGAAAAGGGGAGATCCACACGGACGCTGTGCAGTTTACGCCGCAGCGCGGCTCGAGGCAGTGCGTCAAGCAGTGGCGAAGCGTCCTGGCGTGCCTATACAGGCCTACCAAAGAATGTTCTGAGAACCTTTTTTGAGGTTTGCACGCGAAATTCTTATAGCATGTCTTGCGGAGTCTGTCTTGTTTTAACACCTCGGGTTTATGTTCTAAGAACGTTGCTTTTGTTCTTGGAACATTTTTAGGCTCTAGGAAGATTTCCTGGTAGGACGATGCGAATGCCGGGACGGTCGGCCCCTGCTCAACGAACAAGGGCGGCGGGCCGCGGCCTACTAAGAGCCTTTTTTTGTGGTTTGCACGAGATGTTCTTAGAACATTTCTGGCTGGGACCGTCTTGTTTTAACGCCTCCGGCTAATGCTCTACGAATGTGGTTTTTGTTGCCAGAACAAGTTTGGGTTCTAAGAACATGTCGTGGGAGGCCTACAGGGATGCCGGGAGGGTCGGTCCCTGCGCAAGTCCGCACGAGCGCGCGGGCAAGCCGGGCGACGGCAGCGGGAGTCGTCCGGGGGTGCAGGAGGGGGAGGCGGAGAGGGGAGAGAGGAGCGGCCGCGGGAGGAGGGGAAGGGCCGAGCAGGGCTGGACCTCCAGGCGCTGTTTTTTGCCGGGCTTCGGCCGTGTTTTGTGTTTTTTCGTGTTGGCAGGGAGGTGCAGGACGACAGCTAGAGCACAACGAACAACAGAACGAAACCATAACGAAAAACAACGTTTAGGTCCAGCCCTTGGAGGAGGGGAAGGTCCGAACAGGGCTGGACCTAGACGCTGTTTTGCTGGACTTCGGCTGTGTTTTGTGCTTTTTTGTGTTGGCAGGGAGGTGCAGGACGACAGGCAGAGCATAACTCAGGAGGGGAACAACACACACAGACACAATTCATCGTCGGCTCCCAGGAATATATGGGAAAATATGGGAAGTGGTCGGGGGAGACAGGAACCCAGAACATATGGGAAAATATTGGGAATCCTTTTATTTGTGTGTACTTATTTGTGTGTCCCAGGGCCCCTTCAATAACGAACAACAAAACGAAACGAGAACGAAAAACAAAGTTTAGGTCCAGCCCTGGGAGCGAATGCGCTCACACAGCGGGGACCGCAGCGGGGCACCCTGGGCGGCCAAGCCGGTGCTGCACCCCTGGCAGCGGGCACGGGGCGCATTGACGCAGACCAGCATCGACGTTGTTCCCCAGGAGGATATGGGAAAATAGGGCAAGAGAAGGGGGGAGAAGCAGCCCCAGAAAGTACGGAATACAAGTGTGTGTGTGTGTGTGTGTGTGTGTGTGTGTGTTTTCATATATATGTATATATATATATATATATATATACATATATATATATATATATACATAACGGCGCACCGGGTCCGGGGGCCCGGGGCCGGGACCCCGACCGCAAATGTGGGCTCCGGGGGGCCCGGAGGCTCGTCGGGGCTTGCCGGAGGCCTCCCCGGTCAGACAAGACGGCCCCAGGAGCGCCCAAGACGGCCCAAGAAATTTCCAAGAGGCCTCCAAGAGGGCTCCGAGATGCTGAAGATGGCCTCCAGACGTCCAAGGACGCCCCCAAGAGGCCCCAAGAAGCCTCCAACATGCGTCCCAAGAGGGCCCCTAGACGCAAAAATTGGCCCATTCCCTTCGTAAAACGTACATTTTCAACAAAGTTGTCTTTTGGGCTTTCCGACGTTACAGGACGGCCCAAGAGGCGCCCAAGACCGCCCCAAGACGGCCCAAGAAGCTTCCAAGAGGGCCCCAGGACAGCCCAAGAGGGCCCCAAGACGGCCCAAGAGGCGCCCAAGATGGCCCAAGAGGGCCCCAAGACGGGCCCAAGAGGGGGCCCAGAGGGGGACCACGAACCGCAAGCTCGAGCCTTCCGCCCCAAGAGGCCGCCAGGAGGCCCCCAGGAGGCCCCTCAAGAGGCCCCAGGAGACCCCAGACGTCCAAGGACGCCCCCACGACGCTTCGCGTCACCAATTTCTTCTCACAACGATTCCTGGGTCTGTGACTCGACAGAACCTAAGCGCGCGCGAAGCGCGCGCGTGGTTCTAGTGTGTGTGTATATATATATATATACATACATATATATATATATACATGTATATATGCAGGTATGTATGGGAATCCCAGGGCCTGTGTCTTGCTGCTTGTGTCTCCCGGGGCCCCGAGCGTGGAAGGCTGGCGCCTCTGCTTCTGCCAGGGTCGCAGGCGGCGCGTCGCCGATGCCGGGTCGCTGCTGTTCCCCGCCCCTCTCTTATCGGGGAAGCGTGAGACTCGAGTACAGTCGGGGTGCTGAAGAAGGAGCCCTTTTCGTTTGGGAAGGGCTCCGTGTTTCTTAATCGTTTTGCAGTTTGCCTTAGACTTTCCTTCGGTTTTTGATGGGGAATCGAAGCTTATTTTGTGGAGAAAAGCTGCCTCGTTCCTTATTTAGGGTTCCTCCGGTCAACGCCCCGACTGTAAGCCGGAGCTCGGGTTCGCCGAGGTTTTATGACGAGCGCGTCCTGGAGCTTGACGGGCCACTTTTCGTGTGGGACGTCTGCAGCGGGGGCTCGCGTCAGAGTTCAGGTCGGGCCTCGCCATTTTCACGATGGCCCCGTCAGGCCAACCCGAGTCCCCCGTTCCCGAGTCTTGCGTTTCCCCGACCTCGGGGGAGCGGAGCGACGCCGGCGGGGTCAGGCCCCCGCCTGCAGACCGCGGCGGCGGGGCTGTGGCGTGCCGCGGCCCAGGGTGGCCCGAGCCAGGCCGGGCACGGTGGTGTACAGCGGGGGCCCGACCGCAAGAGACTTTCCACAAGAAACCCAACCCTGCGACCCCAGGACGTCCACTGACTTTGGTCGGGGGAGCGTAAGACCCGGGTTTGCCAGGACTCGGGTTCGCCATCGTTTTTTGACGACCGCGCCTCGGATTTTGACGAGCGGGAGTTTCGTGGGATGTCTGCAGCGGGAGGCCTCGTCAAAATGCAGGCTCGGCCTCGTCATTTTTTTGACGACCTCGTCGGGGATTTCCGAGTTCCCTGTACCCAGGTCTTACGTCCCCCCGATTTGGGTCTGGGAACGTCGCGCTCTCCATCGCAAAGCCATCGAAAGCCAAAGGACCCAGGGCAGCCTGGAGGCAAGCAGGGTGTTTCTTGGCATGGGCCACCGCTGCATACACCCTAGGCGATGCTTAAGAAAACTTAAGCTTTTGGCCAGGGTCTCGATTATTCTTACTGCTTCAATGTAAATCCTAAGATGTCAATAGAAATTCTGGGTTTGTATGCAAATTCTGAGACTCTGAGTTCCTTAACCCACGATTTCTTAAGCATTTTGCAGGGTGTGGGTGTCTTCCGCGGGGCCTTCGGATGCCCTGCCAGCGCTGCGGGCGGCGAGGCGAGGCGAGGCCCCACGGAGGGCCCCGCGGAGGGGCCCAGAGAAGGGGCCCGAGCGCCGACGAGTCGAGCCTTCCGTTCCAAGGCGCCCCCTGGGAGGAGGCCTCCAGAGGCCCCCCCAAGAGGCCCCCAATCGATCCTCGATCCTCGATCGATCCTCGATCGATCCTCGACCTCCTCGATCCTCCTCGATCCTCGATCCTCCTCGATCCTCGATCCTCGAATCGTCGCCCCCCAAGAGGCCCCCAAGGGGGCCCCCGAAGACGCCCCGAGGGGCCTCACAGCGGCCCCAAGAGGCTTCAAAACTGCCTCTGCGAGGCCCCCGAGAGGCCTCCTGCGACATCCCGTCGAACATCCTAGAGTCGGCGGCGAGCGAGGGGGGGGAGTGAGAAGGAGAAGGCCTTCTCAGAAGGCGGCGGTACTTATCAGAAGCCCTCGCGCCTTCTAGAGGTTTGTTGCGTCTTCGGGGAAGGCTTCAGAGCATTTCTCAGAAGGCCGGTGGATTTCCAAACCTTCTGAGAAGGCCCGCCCCGTCTCACTTCCCCCCTCGCTCCCCTCCCAGCTCTGTCACGTAGCGCCGGGCGTTCTGCTTCGTTTCGCCCGACGTGGGGATTTATCCGTGGCCACCCGTAGGGGATGCATCTTCGGGGACGCCTGGTGGCGATGGATGCGTTTCCTCGTAGTGCCCTCTATGGTGCTTTAGGTATTTCGAGAAACTCCACGCTTTCGGCGAGGGAAGGGGGGGGGCAAGGGGGGCTCAGACGGTGGATCGGGCGTCCTGGGGCCAACTTATATCCACATCCACCGTCCGCTGACGTCCCAGGACATCGGTTCCCCAGGCGGTGGATATGCATATATCCCCGCCTGCCTCTCGTGTGCCCTGCGACTTGGTCGTGGTTTGTTTCGGTCCTATCATCCGATGTTGTGTTCTGTCCAGGGTTAGTTTGGTGGCGCCCTGGGTTTGCGAAACCCTGGGCGCCGAGAACACAGAACGATAAACACAGACGTCTGTCGTGATCTTGTGGGCGACGCCCTTCTGTATTCGAGGGCACGTTGCGCGTGTCTGCGGAGGAGCTCCTGTGGTTTGTGAAGGGCGACACAAATGCCAAGCACCTGTCCGACAAAGGCTCGCTGCTCGGAAGCTCCAGTAAGCGTGGATAACGCTCCGTGCTCATGGCGTTGGCGCATAGAATGTTGGTGGGTGGGGGGAATGGGGAGGGAGTGCTTCTCGCGGGGAATGTCAGCATGATGCCACTCGCATCAAGATCTGGTCGTATCCCGCCGTATACGAGGCCAGCGCTATCGTCGATAGTTGGTTTGGCTTGTTGTCGGTCAGATCGACAGAATTCTTGTTGTCGGCAGTCGAACTGACCATTAAGTATCATAGACACCTACGGCGAATCACCGCCGCCCCCTGCCTGTTAGGATACGCCTATGTGGCCAAACGTTTGGGCAATGTTTGGCCCCAAGCTATTGGGCCATGCGTTCCCCCAGCCCTCGGTGGAATCGCTTCGGGGAACACGTCGGGGAGGATGCGGGTGATGACGAGGAGGGAAACAAGGGATGATGAGGAGGAGGAGGGGGAGGAGGAAGAGGAGATCGTTCGCCCTGAGCAGCAGGAGGAGGAGGAGGAGGAGGAGGAGGAGGAGGAGGAGGAGGAGGCAACCGCTCAGGAGCTTCCTGGGCCACTTTTGGGGGCCTCCCGGCTGCGTCCTGTGAGGCCTTTTCTGGGGGCCTCTGGAGGGCCTCTCTTGGCAGTCGTAGGAGCCTTCTCGGAGCTCCTCGAGGGCCTCTCTGCCCCTCTCGGGGCCTTCCTGGCCCGCCTGACGCCCGGGGGGGGGGCGGCACGCATCCGCCGCCGAGGCGTCAAGATCTGGGACGCCAACGGCTCGCGCGAGTTCCTGGACCGGCTCCCGCCCGCCTCCCCTGCTCCCGCTGCCCCGTCCTTCGTCAGGAGGGGAAAAAACACACAGACACAATTAATCGTCGATCCCTAGGAAAATATGGAAAAATATGGGAATTGGGCGGGAATGCAAAAACTCGGAAAATATAGGGAATCTTTTTATTTGTGTGTACCTATACGACCACCCTTCGGGTGATAAGGAGGTGAGGGTGGGGGGAGGGACCAACGTCGCACTCGATCGATCTCACTCTCGATATCACTATCGATCTCACTATCGATCTCACATTCGGTCTCACTATCGATTTCCCCATCGATCTCCCATTCGGTCTCACTATCGATTTCCCCATCGATCTCACATTCGGTCTCACTGTCGATCTCACTATCGATATCACTATCGATCTCACAATCGTATTTGTTTGTGTGTCCCAGGGCCTTCACTTCGGGAGGCTCGTGCCGCGCCGCGTCGACGCGGCGGCGGCTCCCGCCGCGTCGTGTCGGGTCGCGTCGCGTCGACGCGGTCGTGTCGCGTCGGCGCGGCGGCGGCCCCCCGCGCGGGCGCTCCGGGCCGAACGCTGCCCTCCTGGGCCTCCGCCGGGTGGCAGCGCGAGGGCCGCCATCCCCCCCCCCCGCCGCAGGGCGCGCGGCAAGGGGGCGCTGCGCCACCGCGAGGGCCGAGAGGCCGCCCCCGGGAGGCGAGAGTCAGGAGGGGAAAAACACACACAGACAGAATGAATCGGCGATTCCCAAGGAAAATATGGGAAAACATGGGAAGTGGGGGGGGGGAGACAGAAGCCCAGAAAATGTGGGAAAATATGAGGAATCTTTTTATTTGTGTGCATTTATGTGTGTGTCCCAGTTCCCCCGTCAGCGAGAGGGCCGCGCAGCGACGGTCCCCCCGCCGACGGCGCGCGGGTGCGCGCCGATCGGGTCGGCTGCCGCCGACCTTCACCTGCGCGGAGATGACGCCCCTCTGTCCAGTGGCCGGAGGGTCGCTCCGCATCGTCGATGCCTCGGCGGTGCGGCTCGGCGTGGAGGCCGGTCCTGGCCTCGCTGCCGTCGCCGAGGCATCGGCGACGTGACGCCGACGCATCGCCGATGCCTCGCCGACGCATCGGGCGATGTATCGCCGATGCATCGCCGATGTATCGGCGAGATCCACCGACCCCCTCTACTCCGACCCCATCTAGGGGGCCTCTAAGCCAGTGGCCCAGAGTCGGCCGACATGTAACGATCTGGCGGTCGAGAAGCCGCCGATCGTTCGAGGTTGGACGATCCGTTGGGGTCGCCACGGCGCTCAGCTGCCGTGGCGGGATCCCGCCCCTGCGCCGTCGCCGCCGCCATGTCAATCCAGGATGTTTCCGTCGTCGTCGCCGATGGCGGCGATAACGACGACTTCCTCGACGACTGCGGCGGTGACGGCGGCGACGGCGGCGACGGCTGCGACTACGTGTTCCCTTGTCTGGCGGGAGCTCCCTTGGCTGTAACCTCGAAAGGTTTCTGCGGACCTGGGCTTCCTGAAAGCCTTTCGACGGTAGGCGTTTCCCAAACCACGGCGCCCGAGGCCTGTGACGGGCCGCTGGTCCCACAACAAAGCAGCCCACGGCGCAAAATCTATACGAATATTGTGTGCGAGCTTTCCACGGCCGCGCTGATTGGAGACATGACGACGACAGAAGTCAGAGGAAGGAACGGTAAGGATGCCGCTACCTTTGCCTCGTCTTCGTTTCTTGGTTTCCCCCGGAAGCTTGGGTACCTCCGGTCTTGCGTGGCGCGTACGTGTTCAGCGCCGCGTTTGAGCAAAAAGGGCGATCGTATGTGCTGCTGGCTGTGGAGGGAAGGGGCTCTTGCTCGGGTGCATGACTTCTCTGGTTGTGTCTGCTGCTGGGCCCCCGCTTCTCCCCACGGTCTCGCTTGCTCCCAGTGGCCAGCACTCCCTGAAGGGGGCAGAGTCCGCGCCGCTCGCGGGGCATGGAGGAGGAGGAGGAGGAGGAGGAGGAGGAGGAGGAGGAGGAGGAGGAGGAGGAGGAGGAGGAGAATGGAGGAGGAGGAGGAGGATGGAGGAGGAGGAGGAGGAGGAGGAGGAGGAGGTTACGTCCTTTTCGCGTCGCAAGAGCGGCTCTCCCTGGCGCGTGGAGCAGGACGGGAGCCACGGAGGCACGGATCCATGCCTTCTTTTTTGATCGCCTCGCTCATGCCGCTGGGCCATCTCGCTCGACGGCTCTCGGTTCCCCGTGGTGTCCGTTGTCGATGCGGTGCTGTCGAGCGGCGGTGGCTCCCTGGCGCGGTGCGCGGGGAGCGTTCGAGCTGAAGCAGGTGCTGTGGAGCTGCCTCCGGGGGGGTTCGTTGCGGGCCTGCTGGCGGTATTTTTGGCACCTCCTGGGGCCTCACGGGGGCCTCTCGAGGGCCTCTCAGGGGCCTCTCAGGGGCCTCTTGGGGGGCCTCCTGGAACCTCTCCCTGGGGGGGGGCCTTCGGGCAAAGAGCTCGAAATGACCGCTCGGGCCCCCCGTCGGGGCCCCCAGGCGCCTCAAGAGGCTCCCGAGAAGACCCCCGCGAGGGCTTGAGGAGGCCAAACACATGGATGCCCCCTAAGATGTTGCAAGATGTTGCGATTCCCGCCCTTTCGGGCAAAGAGCCCAAGACGTTTCTGACGGCCTGCGAGCTCGGAACAAGACGTCCCAAGAGGGTCCCGAGACGGCCACAGAGGGCCCCCAAGACCGCCCAAGAGAGCCACAACACGGCCCGCGAAAGCCCCACAAGGCCCCCAAGGGGGCCTCTAGTAGAGCCCCAAGACGGCCAAATCTTCGCAAGACGCAGCCCAGAGAGGCCGGGGACGGCTCAAGAGGGTTGGAGGACTGTTCAGGAAGACCTTACGAGGACACCCACGAAGGCCCAGAAAAAGGCCAAACACGTGCATTTCCGAGGCCCCAAGGCTCTACAGGAGGAAAGTTCAAGAATAGTCAAAACATGTGTTTAATAATTCTGGAGACGAGGTTCCAAATATTTCTGACAAGTTGTCAATCTATTTTGAGCCTGTGCGTCAGACAAGATGTTCACGTGTGTTCAGGTTCAGGTTGTGTACGTCAGGGTTCACGTGTGTGCTACAGTGTTAGGGTTCTGGCGTTCAGGTCGGGATGTTCGGCCCCACGAGAGCCTCAAGATGCCCCCCAAGAGAGTTCCAGATGTCAGAATGCATAATTCGTATAGTTTGTTTTGGGACACTGCAGCGTGCTCGCTTTATTCAGGACGAAAATGGCTCCCCAGGAGGCCCTTAATCGGCCCAAGAATGCCTCCAGACTGACCAAAAGGCTCCGCAAGACTCATAAAGATGGCCCAAACAGGGCAAACCGAATTGATATTTAGAGCCGTGCCACCAAATATAGTCCTGGACATTACCACGGAGCACCAAGGAAGCCATCAAGGCCCCCAGAAGCCCCCTATGACGCCCTCAAAGCTGCCAAAACGCTCTCAAGAGCCCCCTTCCGGGAGCCCCGCAAGCCCTATCACCTCTAATAGCTTGATGCGCCACATGACCCCTACGAACCCCATGGCCCTGATGACCCCTTACGAACCCCACGACACCTACGAACCAAATGAGCCATACGAGCCCCATGAGCCCTGTGAGGCCTATGAGCCCTACGCGCCCTACAAGCCCATGAGCCCAATGAGCACCTGAGCCTTACAACACCTATGAGCCCAACGACCCTAACGAGCCCTTCGAGCCCTGCGAATACTACGACCCCTGTCAGCGCTACGAGCCTTCAGCCTCAGCCTCAGCCTCATTTGCCCTATGAGCCCTAAGACCTCTATGCACCACATAAGCTCACGAGCCCAATGCGCCCTGTGACCCTATTGTCTTCACGACCTCATGCGCTTTCCAACCCCTACGAGCCCCATAATCCTGATGAGCTCATGAGCCCTTTGACTCCTCCGAGCCCTCTCACCCCTACGAACCCTCTGAGCCCCATGAGTCCCGTGAGCCCTTCAAGGGGCCCCCCAGACACCTCCCCTGGGAGCTCACAAGCGACCTCGCTCCCAAGCGTCCAGTGGACGCGGCACCATCAGCCCACATGAGCTCAATTGGCCCGTCGAGCCGTGCGAGCACATCGACGTCCTCAGTGCCGCGAGCCCTATGGCCCCTACGAGCCCCAATGGCAAGTTGAGCCCCATGAGCCATATGGCCCCTGTGAGCCCTATGCGCCATATGCGCACTACGGCCCCTCCGAACCCCATAGGCCCTATAACCTCTATGAGCAGTGCGAGCTGCATGACCCCAATGGGCCCCATGAGCCCTATGAACTTTGTGGGCCCTCTGAACCCTAAGTCGCTCGTGAGCCTGTGAGCTCATACGCCCTCAGAGCTATGTGAGCCCGACGAGCCTCGTGAGCCCTACGAGCCCAGTGAGCCCTGTACGTCCTATGCCGCCTATGAGCCTCATAAGCCCCAGGCGAGCCCTCTGAGCTCCACCAGCCCTGCGTGCCCCACGAGCCGCGTCGCCCGGGGAGCCTCCGCAATCCTATGAGCCGCATGAGCCCCGTGGGCCACATGAGCCCCATGACCCCCACGACCCGTGATGAACCCGATTAGCTTTGTGAGCACGCTTGGCACAATAACCTCTTATGAGCCCCATGAGCCTCATAAGCTCCATGAGCCGGCCCGCTCTGGGGCCCAAGAGCCCGTGGCTTCCGTCTGGCCAGCGCCCCCCAGCCTGAGGAAACCTGGGCACCCGATCACGCCTGCGGGCCTTCTGTACCTCATGATCCCCATGAGCCGCGCTGGCTGAGCTACCCCTCGTGCACATTAAGGCTCTAATCCTCTGAGCCTCAATGGCGGTGGGGAGGCCTTTGCGCCCTCTGACCCAGTAGAGCTAATGGGTCCTGTCAGCCTCGCGTGACTCATGGGCACTATAGCTGAAGCATATCGCGGTACTGGCGAGTACCGGACGCGGCGGGCCTCTCTGACGCTATGCGATCAAGATTTCTTAAGGCGAAGCGAAGTGAGCC